CTTCTCCTACAGTTCAATCCAAAGACATTTAACAACGACATAGCCCTGGTGGAGCTGACATCCCCCGTGGTCCTGTCCAGCCGTGTCACTCCGGTGTGTCTCCCCTCTGGCATGGAGCCCCCTACTGGCAGTCCATGTCTGGTGGCAGGCTGGGGCTCCCTCTATGAGGGTGAGTGGGAGATAATTGGCATGGATTTTTACTTCAGAGCTATATATAGCTTAGTTTTCTGTGAGCAAAGCTTAAATGCTTTATTTTTGAGAGAACATGTACCTTCGATGAAGACTGCAAGTCAGCAAATTTGTCTGAATATTTATGTAGTCAACATGGTGCATTTCTGTGTGTATTTTTCTCGACAGACGGCCCATCCGCCAACGTGGTGATGGAGGCCAAGGTGCCCCTGCTGCCACAGAGCACCTGTAAGAGTACCCTCGGCAAAGAACTTGTCACCAACACAATGCTGTGTGCCGGCTATCTCTCCGGAGGCATCGACTCCTGTCAGGTGGGCAGAACAACATTTTTCTGTTAATGCACATTTTTTTCAGATCTTTTGAGTCTGATTTGGTAATTCAGTTACTGAAGTCTCTGTTAAGTTTTGAGTCCTTTCTGTTTTGAAATGTTTAAGCAACAGCCAAACCATTTTCCGTTAACATACTATAAATATGCTTTTTTTTAACTTTTGGGCGACTTTCTGTCATCTGTAGGGAGATTCTGGAGGCCCCTTGATCTACCAGGACCGAATTTCAGGTCGGTTCCAGCTCCACGGCATTACCTCGTGGGGAGACGGCTGCGGGGAGAAGGGCAAGCCTGGAGTCTACACACGGGTGTCTGCTTTCTCTGACTGGATTCAAGCTGAGATACAGAGTGAGTTTCAAGCAACAATAAAACACCACGGAAACTCAAATATTCTGACTCACTACATACCTCAAAATATTGAAATACTCCCTACAATACTACAATCTATGCTTGTATCTTTTTAGAGTCGTTTGGAAGCAGGGAGCCAACGTGTTCGGAGCTTCTGAAGACAACAGAAATGACAGCGGAGGAACAGAGGTCGGAGTTCAGCTCGCTCTGTCGCTTCTACACCCTGACCTGCCCCCCTGGTCAGTCTGCCAGCACTTGCAACCGAATGGCCGAAGACAAGTGCCTCACCCGCTTTAAGAAATGTCGTGAGTACTCTTGTTAAAAAGCTCAGCCTGATGGATGTAGGACAAAAACATGAATATACTCATTATCATTTATGTATTCATGTTGCTTTGAGGCTATAGGTTTCTGATCAGCTTCTCCCTCTCTGCCATTCAGAGTTGCGTTCGTTCCTACAAACACTGCTGGACTTGCTCCAGAGGGCCGAGGACTACATACGGGACAAAGTGGACTTGACCTTCTTCACCCAGACTCTGCCTCAGCTGGTGGAGCACATCTACAGCACAGCTTTCACTCACACCAGAGAGAGGAGGGACCTGTGCCTGAGCCATGGTCTCACACAGATTAAAGGTACGGGATTGACAACTTGTTATTCTATCTTCTGTCTTACATATAACAGATAACGCAATTATTACATTTTCTCTGTCTTTCTCTGGTGCAGTGGTAAATTATGTTGCCGGTCACTATTCTAACACACGTTTGTTACTTGCAGAACAGCTAGGTGGAGCTGTGGTGCCAACAGAGCAGGGTCCTTCTCCAGTTCCCCCAGCCTTATTCAGAGAGGTGGGACCCTCAGTGGATGACTGGGAGAAGTACTTGAGAGGCATGGCTGAGGACCTGGACAAACAACACACTGACACGTCCACAGACACGTCCACCACACCAACAACACAGGAGAACAAGCTTTTCCTACAGGTAGATTTCTAAAATATCCAAAGGTGCAGGACTTCTGGCTTTGAAAGGCAATCTTTGAATTGTAGAATGCCAGTGATTGAATATGTAGACATCGCAATTAAACATAACAATAATTTAATTGTGGATTTATTTTGATGTTACTTAGAAACTTAATAGCCAAATGTATTTTTTACATGTCATCTCCAGACACAGGACTCCTCAATACATCAGCTGGAGGGAGAATTTCAATCTGTTATCTCAGCTCTGCGCTCCAAATTGGACTCCAGATCTGCTCCTCCCAGCCTGCACTTGGACACGGCTTACCTCCAGGAGGATTCTTCCAACACTCACCCTTTAACTACTTCTTCCACTGGAGCACCTGTCCACACCGGCCCCTCCTCCTCCCAGGAATCACAGGAGCCTTGGTCACTTCTAACTGCCCTGATGCATGAATTTCAGGAATCAAGCACACAGGATGAGATTGTGACAGAAGATGCGTCACAAAGGGAAACCTCGTCCGATAGAAACGCTTCTCCTGATGAAAAATGGAGCACAACGTCGGAGGATTTTACTTTTGTTGAGAATGAAGAAAGAACAGAATTAAAATCCTCAACATCTGTCGTTCAGCCGGTCACTGAGGGTGCTCACGCAGAGACGACCGCTGACCCCAGACAAGCTGGAAAGACTTTAAGTCCACACAGAAAATACAGGAGCCTTCTTCGCAAGAGGCAGATACCTGGGGCCAGTGGGAAAAGTAGGTACAACACGTAGTTCAGACAAAACTTTCATTAAAACACCATCACAATGTATTCCATGTAATGTTTTTTATGGCTAGATGTTTCTCAAATGAAATGCTTTTGTTTGTTCCTGTAGTTTGTCCTGGAGTGAGAGAGTCCTTGCAGCAAGTTAGCCAAGTCAGAGACTCCTACAGCTGGGTCTTAAGCGTCCCAAGCAAGAACCTACGCATGAACTTCCAAGAGGTAAATTATAAATTTAGATGGAGAAGTTAAGAGCAGTTGATATTTCTTTTCTTTGTCTCTCTTTGCTTCATTTGGGTTTCGTTCTTTGTTCAGGTGTTAGTTGATCTGAGCTCCAAAAATGATCAAGGACTTTATCAGGCACGAGTCAGAGCAGTAGTGGGAGGACGACCTTTAACCTTCTACAGTCTTGTGGGCCTAGAGAATGAGTCGTTCTACCGCAGCGCGCCAAGGATCATCGCTTTGGGACTGGAGGCACTCAAGACTTAACTTTATCTCAACAAAAACAAGCAAGACGACATGAAACACAAAAGACAGACTCAAATGAGAGATGATGGCACAAAGACTTTCAAAAAGACGTGTTTGCACCAGAAAAGCCTCGTCGTGGGACAGAGAGAGACGCACGTGCAACGCACAGTCACTCAAACTTTACTTATTCTGCCATCTCCTGAGAAAAGCATTTTTTTGTTTCCCCTGTCGGACCACCTGACTTTGGCTCTAAATGAAAACACAACCATGAATGTATCAATCAAACTATCGCCACCCATCATGCCACAGGATTTTTTTATGGGGTTGGAGACGCAGCCTTGTCTAACTTATGAATCTGTATAAAATGATAAGTTATTCGTTTTGTCTTTTGCAAAGGTTGAGCCTCTTGTGAAGCACACAGACTGTATATATTATTCTTATTCTTACCATATTTATTTGTATAGAGAAAAGCATTTGTATTTTTGTAAAAAAAACAAAAACTATATATAAATAAAATTGTTATTAATACTATGGCTTGTTGTGTTGAGTGTTGGGGTGATCTGTCGTTATGTAATTCCAAATTCAACTTCAGATAGGAGATATTCAAATTAACGGACAGTAATGCTGCTAATCCGACAGCATTTTGCTGCTGGTAAAGCAGTTCTGCTGACACTCAAACATATTCTCTCGAGACAGGTGTCAATGCCGATCGGTTTACTTTTGTGACCCCATATTGACCTCAGTCCTCCGACCCTTTGAGGGTAAGCTTTCCCATCAACACAGCAGCTGCTGTGCTGTGGTGACCAGTACTTCCCACATTCTCCCCGTCCTCACGCCTTATTTCCAGGATGGAAAATTGTAACAGGACACATACAGTATCTATGCTGAGCTTTAGAGTCTCGTGTTGTCTGTAATGAGTCCGAGCATTGTGAGTGAAGACAACTGTTGCTCGAGGAAGTGACACTCTCGACTTGTAGACAAGCCTCGTCATTGCTGTGTGTTGACTTTTGTCCTCCTCGCTGTGGTTGCCAAGTCTTGGCCACTGTTTGAGCACGGTGATGATATGACCCCCCCCCCCCCCCCCAGAAAAAAACAAAGCAACTTCACAACTAATATGTGCCCACTAATCTGTGCTAGTTTTCTGCCCAGTCCAAATGCTTAAAGAGGGATATACAGGGATATGAGTGGAACAGCTGAGTAAACATTCACACATACTTCTGCTGCAACGCTCTTGCCTCTGGCTGGTGTGTTTATGTGTATGTGGGCAGTGTGCCAAATCATGGCAGGAACGAGTATTTTTGTGACGCACACACACACACACACAAACACACACAGAGCCTGGCCAGTCATCACAGCGGGTGTGCTGTAAATGGACAAGACTTATCACCTGTTCTCTGGTCCACTGTGCAGCTTCTTCTTTTTTTTTACTTTCTGGCTTGCAGACAGGCACAGTGTTGCTGCTGTCTCCCTCTCTCTCTATTGTCTAATCTTTTGGTCTGTGATCTTTTTATTGTAGAGAACACATTTAACCATGGCTGCTGGTGGAAAAAAATAGTTTTTTATAGATCGCTAAATTTGCCCTCACAGAATCCACAAGTTATTTTACTTTGTTCATGAGGACAACAGCCGGTGCACCGAACAGAGCCAAGATACAGAGTGCGCTTTGATGGTGCATGTCATGTTATCAGTGTGTGTGGGTGTTGTGACAGCTGGCTATGCAGTACTAGAAATAAACTCTTGGATTCAATCCTAACAATCATCAACTCCCCACCAAATCCCAACCATTCCTCTAAACCTCAACTCATCCCATCTGCCTAAGCCCCGACTTTTGCTGGGAAACACGTACACACACACACACACACACACACACACACACACACACACAGTCTAAGTGCCAGCAACTCCATCAAGTAGCGTCCATGTGTATCAGATTAGTGATCATAGCTTTGTCTCGGACAGCGCAGCACAGACACACTAATGGATTCTGGACCTCCGCTCGCTCCGTCACTCCTCCTGAGGGTGTTCATGATTTCTGCCACAGGTAGGCTATTCAACCCGCCGCCACATATGTGAGACATGATACAGTATCTTGTTAGTCTCTAGGGATTAGAATTTAAAAAGTCAGATTAATGTTGACTTAAGTGCAACATAAATCACAGGTACAACATCCTTCAAGGAGGCACCTTATTAACTTTTTGCTCAACCAACTGTAACATTTAATTATTTTAAACATACTTGAACAGTTCAAATATTGCTTTCTTGTTTATTCATTAAGCATCTTGCATTCAAACTATATGTGGTTACACCCCCGAGACAATTGTCATTACAAAGCTTGCCGTTCACCAAACGGTGACAGGTTCAGTAGGGAATGGCTGATGAAACAACAAGGATCTACTTTTGTGATAAAAATGCTTTGTTACTGAATCGTAGTGCATTATTTGACAGGGCATGTATAAAAAGTTGCAAAAATCGGACTTAATGTGTAGTGCTGCACCATACCAACACTGTGTTAATTGTTAATCTATAAAATAGAGTAACAAAGTAGGCTTCCTTCCAATTACACAAAGACATTTGTTTTAATGTTATTTTACTAAATTTAATTACACAGAAAGAATGAATGGAAGAAAGAAATGTTTCTTTATTTCTGTCATGATGCGTTTGTATTCTAACAAAGTTTCTACTGGAAAGTAAGCTGGGACCATTATATAAAAAGGGTCATCTACTCATGAAGATTAAAGATGAGAGAAAATATCATTTTAACATGGTACTCCAGTAATTTCGTGCTGCACTTACAGGCAGATCAAAAAGAATTGGTCAGAAGTGAAGTAGCAGAGGCTGAGATATCCTGACTTTAAGTCTAATCATGGGCTGAAAAATATTGAACTTAATATGTAAAATTGATGGAAGTGCTCCTTTAAATTAGTCCCTTATCACTTGTTTTAGTCTCTCATATTTTCTCGCCCTGCCCTGTGTTCGTCTGCAGCATCAGCAATCAACCTTGAAGGGGAACTTTTCAAGGATTTGATGAAAGGCTACAACAAGAACGTCCGGCCCATGGACAACAGTGGTGACGTCACTCAGGTCGACATCAAGATGACGCTCACCAACCTCATCTCTCTGGTGAGTTCAGTGTTTTTGAACACTGCCAGTGGCTGCTCGGGCCTGATGGTTCACGTCACTTACCAAACTGTCTCTCCTTAGAATGAAAAGGAGGAGGCTCTGACCACAAGCGTCTGGATAGAAATGGTAACCGTACACACATCTCCACTGCTGGATGTTTTCTTGCTGCTTTGCATTGATGTGAAACCCTCAGTATTTCTGTATGTAGCAATGGTGCGACTACAGGCTCAGATGGGACCAACCGCCCAGGTCGGCTCTGTATGGGAACATCACCTCTCAGCTGCGGGTCCCCTCCAAGAGCATCTGGCTGCCCGACGTCATACTGGAGAACAAGTGCGTGCAACAACCGTCACATTTTCACACAGTAAATGTTGGTATTATGTTCTGTATTCTTACAATAAATACAATATATACAATGTAGAATAAATGTGTTTGTGTGTATTTCCCTCTGTTAACAGCGTGGATGGAAAATTTGAGGTGGCACTTTACTGCAATGCACTGGTGTCTCCTAACGGTTGTGTGTACTGGCTGCCTCCTGCCATCTACCGCAGTGCTTGTGCCATCACTGTCAACTACTTTCCCTTTGACTGGCAGAACTGCACCATGGTCTTCCGGTGAGTAGAGACGAGATCTGTAGGGATTTGATGACTGGCCAGTGAGCAATACACGTAAATTTATGTACAAATAAAAAGCTAGATCCCTCTATAAGGAGTTAAAACGCCTCAGATTCACCATGCATCTCTCAAATGGGTTGTCTTGTCACTCACAGATCAATCAATCAATCAATGTGCAGTCACTTAGACAGATTTCAGATGAGATGTTGTTGATCCTTTAAGGGGAATTCACGTGTTACAGCAGCACATACAGGCTGATAGGTAGGGTTAAGGAAAAAGATAAAGAACTCTGAATTAGATTGTAAAATGAGAATTATATAATACATTTATAATTAATTATATTGCATTATACAGCAATAATACAATACTATGACATATATATAATAGAAATCAAAGAGAATATATAATATAATAACATTAGAGAGCAATATTAACTATATAATGGTAATTGTATTGTTATATAGTGATATTTAATATGTCGAAATGCTTGTTACAGATATAATTTCTAAAGAATTTATTTTCCTTATTTTAGAAATAAATATCCTCACATGTTCACAGAGCACTGAGAACACAGAGGGCCTGTCCCCAATGGTTTCTAGGAATTTGTGGAGGACATTTTACCAGCATAAACTAATTACACATAGTTGAGTTTAAAAGTTAATTCAAGCCATTTAAAAAAAAAAAAACATTTTAAAATTTGACAGTTTAGGTAAAACATTAAATTTGATTTGGTAGAAGGATCTAGTATAGAGATGGCTTTGAAATTAAATGCAGACCATTGTGTGAGGTCAAATTTAGAGAAAATGTAATTTAAGACAAATAAGTAAATTAGTTAAATTAAATAGATTAATCAAATCAGGGGAAACAAAAGTAAAATTTCTAATTGGGTAGGGTGGCACTGTGGAAATATGGGACTGTCCCGTTCACTTGTGTCCAAACCAGGAACAATGATTCCTTCATTCGTGGTCCCTTTTCACCGTGCTGTCTTGTAAAGTGGATCGATGGCTGTGTTTGTTGTGGTAACAGACCGTATGTCTCCTCCCTGTGTTCAGCTCCCAGACTTACAGTGCCAACGAGATCAAACTGGTTCTCAAAGAGGAGGAGAACCACACACTGGAATGGGTGGATATTGACCCGCAGGCTTTTACAGGTATAGCAACATTTGAATGATAGATTTTGAACATCTATTCAAAATAAAACTAAGCACTACCATTATCTAATGTGTAGCAAAATGTCCTTCTGCAAACTAATTTTGTCAGAAAATGGAGAGTGGGCCATCAAACACAGGCCGGCTAAGAAGGTGATCAACACTCGGTACACTAAGGACGAGCTGGAACACCAGGAGATTGTCTTCTTCCTCATCATCCAGAGAAAGCCCCTCTTCTACGTCATCAACATCATCGCTCCCTGTGTGCTCTTTTCCTCCCTCGGCCTTCTTGTCTACTTCTTACCTGCCAAAGGTCTTTTTCCTCTCCATGTGTATCTAAACCTAACCTTAGGTAGTCAGACCTCTGTCACTTTAACCTCCTTACTCCACAGTGAACCACTCTTGGTCTTGGCTTAATTTGACATGCAGCAGAGTTTTCTATGAGTGGAGCACACCTTTTAAACAGTCAATATCGCAGTTGATCATGTTCATTTAATGGTGGGAATCCAAAATCGTGATCGCTATTAATATTCAGTTAATTGTGGACAGCGCTAATAAAGACACATACTATAGAGGGAACTGCCAAAGAAGCGGTTTTAAGTACTTTGCTAGTTGTTTATGTATCTGGACAGATTTAGTCACTGCCATAGTGACACAACTGGGCAAGATGCAGTCACAAAACTTTACAGGTGTGTAGGACAGATTTAGTACCGAGTTTAAAGATGGGTATTGTCTAAGCAAGGGCGCTGGAAGTAGGGGGGTAGGTAGGGGGTAGGGGCCCCCCACTTAACGCCCGTGGCCCAATTTGGCATCTTGGCTGGTGTGATCCCTTCGCAAGATGGTCTGTAGTTAATATCAGTTTTCATCAACACAAAACCTCACCACTCTTTCTGAATGTTGGTTTGAGTTTTACAGCTGGTGGTCAGAAGTGCACCATGTCTATTGCCACTCTTCTGGGCCAGACTGTGTTCCTCTTCCTTATCGCCAAGAAGGTTCCAGAGACTTCGAGGGCGGTGCCGCTTATTGGAAAGTAAGTTTGTGTGATCGCTTTCAGATTTCGGTTCAGAGTTTCGGTCGAACTACAGCTGATCTGAAGAGAGAAAAAGATGTGATTTGTGAACCTTTGACTGCAGGTATTTGATGTTTGTGATGTCAGTGACCACCATGGTGGTGATGAACTGTGTGATAGTCCTCAACGTTTCCCTGAGAACCCCAAACACTCACATAATGACAGATAAAGTCCGAAAGGTGAGACTGCGGCCAGACCAAACCCTTTTATTTCCATTAAGAAGCTACTGAATGAACATACCGTGTGCCGTGAAGTAAACACGGGTTTATTTGCCACTGGATTACCCTCTGACCCTGCGACCTCCTCAGATCCTCCTAAACATCCTGCCTCGGCTGCTGAGGATGCAGATGCGACCCTGGACACCAAACGGGGACACCACAGAGAATAGAAATGGAGAAACTCTGGCTCCAGACAGGAACGGTGTGTTTCTGGTCCCCTGCCGACGCCGCAGCTCCATGACCCTCATTACCAAGGCAGAGGAATATGCAACGAAAACAGCCCGGTCTGAACTCATGTTTGCCAGACTCAAAGAAAGAAACGGACTAATTAAATCAGTATTAGAGAAGCTAAGTAGGTATTTCAATGAGTTTCCATGTTAAAGTATACATGAAAGTTTGTGTTCCCCTCGTCATGACTTACTGGTGTGTTTTGTACACAGATGATGGGCTGGAGGGGGGTACAGCTGAGCAGCTCAGTGCCAGCCTGGTGAAGGCCTCTCCACAGCTAAAGCAGTGCGTGTCCTCTTGCAAACACATAGCTGAGACTGCAAGGCAACAGAACAACTTCCAGAATGTAAGATCTACATGTTTATATTTGCTTATCTTCTCAGGTTTCAACATCAAATCAACATCAGTCAATATAATCTCCAATTTTTTCTTCCAACCCCAAGGAAAATGAAGAGTGGTTCCTGGTCGCCAGAGTGATCGACAGGGTCTGCTTTATTGTCATGGTGTCTGTGTTTTTTATCGGCACGATTGGGATCTTCCTGATGGGCCATTTCAACCAGCCTCCATCCTCACCTTTCCTTGGGGACCCCAAGAAGTATCTCCCTCCAATAAACAATCTCACTGATCTAATTGAGAATGGGATCGGAGCAAACGTCTTTGGGTGAAACAGGAGAAAGTCTCCAGATTTGATCCCTTTAATTGAAGTGGAAATCTGACGGTGCCCATCAGTGGTCTCCTCAATGAAGAAGATGTGGGATATGATGACTACCACAAAGGTTAAGACAAACAATCTTGTTCATGGTGATAAAAATAAATTTAAAAAAGAGCATGTTTTTTTTGCTCTTCCTGTTACCAGCTCAGTGTTTGATGCAAGTTTACTTTTGCCAAATAAATGCTTTTATCAATAAAAGTACAACTGTAATGTTGTGATTGCTCAATCTCAGACATTTCATAATCAAGTGACACCTTCTTTGAGGCACATAGAGAGCACTGACACCCCCAGGCTTCCCCCGAAACACAGACACACTGCACAGCCCCCCCCACCTCTGGAAGCAGGATTTCAATTACATGGCTGAGTGGTGCCTTTCTAACCCAACAAAAGACAGATCCGGCTGGTTGGGATGGAAACATGGTCAGGGGGTGAGACAGAGCCGGCGGACAGGAGACACACACACATACACACGCTCACAAAGCCAAACATTAATACGTGAATATTCACACAAACACACAGAGGTGGTAAGGAGGTTTGTGCTTCACCCCTCCTGATCATGACGACTCATAGACGTTTGCCTGGTCTCTACCCTGTCACACTTAGATTGTCAGAGTCAGTCGGCACCAGGAGGTTGACTACAGATGGTAAGTAAGAGACTTCTTATGCTCAATTGTGCTATTTCACGTCATTGCATTCCTTCACCTTGAGATAATAAGGCTGTAGAAGGTGTTGGGCACCTGTTGTACTCTTCACTGCCTATATGCAGGACATGAGGTGGGGCTTCATTATGGTACTTTGTTGTGGAGGATAATGCGCAGTGTTGCATGCAGCTGTGGAAACAAACTGTGCGTGATGTGAATAAAAAGGAGGCTCAGGCTGGCTGCTGTGGTGAAATCACTTTAAGGCGAGAATGTTGATATTGGTGCCAGACAACTTTCTAAACCTGCTGTCCATTTCTGGATTTTCTTCTTCAAAACAATATTCTACGACACAAAATTAAACTATTTTTCCCTCCAAACTTTGCTGAATTTCTATACTTTAAGTGGACCTTGCACAAAAAATGTTGCTTCACTGTTTGCAACTGCGACAGGGAGTGGACATCGCTTTGTATTTAACACACAAAACAGGTTGGGAACTATTGATCATACCAGTAGCTCTCAAATTATAGTTGTAACTTAGCTTAAAACTTAAGATAATTGTATATATTTTAACATTACTTTCACCCCTAATTTACATCCATCGCCAGAATATTTAGCAAAACACCTCCTAAAACTTGTTAACTCCTCCCTCACACTATAATTCCACAGCTGATGTGTGGGGGCTAATTTTAAGAGTGTTTAAGAGTAGTGTTCGAGGGCACATCATCACTGCTAATGGCTACTCTAATTTCTAGTCTGCGGTATTCATTTACATGTCATGAAGAAGCGACTGCATTCTTCCTTCCGGCATTGTATAGACTATCTGCAGCCTCTCTTGTGAAAACACTGTTTTCACAAGAGAGGCTGCGGATAGTCTGTACAATGCAGATGGAGATATATATATCATGTTTTCAAAACACGATATATATATATATATATATATATATATATATATATATCTCTATCTGGTGGATGAATAGTGGTACTGCACTCATCATTAAGGCACTGGCTTTCAATGCAGGCCAAATAGACCAACCGGCTATGGTTATCTTAGAATAGGAATATACACTTTTTTTATTTTGTTGCGTTGTGGTGTGTGTACAGGTTTGTCAGGCCGAAATGAAATCTTTTATTGATGCTGTGTTCCATCATCATTTACTTATACCCAGTTACATATATACATATCAATCTCGGAATCCATCGGATATCAATCCGACGACGGATAAGCCTCTGGGGGCAAGGGCCAAGACTTCCTTTTCAGTGCACTGCTCATTGTTTACAGCCTGATAAGCAACTTGAGATGCAAGACTGGAATTGGAGTTCAATTTCGACTGGCTTATTTCACAAATAGCCAACCAAGATTCTATTTCAGCCACTACCTTCTGCTTCGTTTGCTCTCCACACAGACTGTTTACCTGTTCCAACCAAAGCCTGCTCGAACATTATTGGTCCATGCTACTCTGACTACAAACGGAAACCAAAGCGCTTCCGATGTTTCTTTCTGATTCAAATAGATCTTGTAGTTGCAGAGATACACTCAATTCATTTTGGGCATATAATTAATTAGAGTTAGTTTGTTATTAATGAGAACAAATACTGTCAATTTACAATACATTTTCCTGTAACTGAAAACATCCTGGTGAATTGTGTCGCACCATTTTGGAACCTAAATAATTACATCCAAACATAAACGAGTGACATCTGACCTTTATTTCATACACACCTGTGGCACAAGATGACTGTTTGTCTGACTGTTTGTCATAGTTATGTCATTGCTGAGTTCCACATATATTTTCAGTTTTACACCATGTCAGTAGTGACCAATCAGCCTCTTCCCTTTGGACAACTGGAGCGAGAGAAGCACATCCAGATGATCTTCAGAGCTTTCCACAACAGCTGTGGGCCTTCATGCGAGTGCCACACTCAGTCACTTGGACCAAAAAAACATCAAAATCCTCATGATTGGGAATCTGATGAGCAACTGCCGGGTCTGGCTCCTGAGAGGAAGATGGAGAACGGCTACACACAGCCACCAGGTGAAGTGAGCAGTCCAGGAGCGGAGGAGCAGTGCCATGGAGGTGCAGCAGGATCCCCCTTTATGTCTGCGCTGGAAACAGTCAGTCAAATACATATCACTGCCAGACCAGAGCTGCAAGGCGAGTATGAGGGATTACGTTTGTGTATTTGTGTGTAAAAGGGAACTCTTGCAGTGCAGAGATTTGTTTGTTTTAAAAGACTGATGCTTCGTCATTGTAGGTCCACAGTGTGTTCCTCAGAGGATCTACAGCATCACCACAGGAAGCAGCAGGTCACAGTTACTTGTGGCTGTGGAAGGTACTGGTCGCTGTTCAGCTACGTGTCCTATCTGAGAACATTCACATCCATCTTTCATAAAGAGAGAGTGAGTTATAGTGTTTTTTCAATGTATTCTCAGTCTCTCCTTGATCTCTTCCTCTTGTCAGAGAGTTCCTGTGTTTGTCTCCAGTGTTGCGGTCCTGCTCGGGCCTGTTCCTTGCAGGGCTTTGACTGTCAGGGTCGGCAGGTTTTTTATTTTGAAAGGCCCCTCAGGGTGGACGCCTGCTGCCTCGGCTGCTGCCTGATGGAGATGAGGGCCTACACGCCTCAAAAACATCTAATTGGCACTGTATGTCAGAGGTAGGATGGTCTCATCTCCGTTTTTATTGCCCTTGTAGCTTGAACAGTGGTGAAAAGTAAACGAGTACTGCTGATCAAGTACACTACTTAAATACATGTATAGTAGGCCTATTTTATTCAATGCAACTTTAGACGTCCACATTCTATGTAAACTTATTTTACAATCAACAAAAAACACTTTCAAAGCAGACAATGTGGTATAGGCACACGTGTGCTCTACTGTCACATCAGGGATCCACGGTCTCAAACAGCAGGAAGTCCTCAAACACCTCACTGAAGTGTCATCAGTGAATGCAGAATTCAGGAAGCACATGTTAGCATTTAGCATGTTAGCCTGACCCAGCGTGCCCCCACTGTAGGCAGCCTGTAGCGCTCTGGCCAGGTGGTGCATTAAGAAAGATGCAACCATGCCAAGGTAAACTGCTGATTGCAGCCACGCCCCATATGTGATCTTAATTGGATTATGCTTGAATGCCATCACTGTTGACTCGTGAACGCAGAGCTCTGCCCTCTTGTGGCTGCAGAAACACCTGCAGCTTCTTCTCTGCTGCTGCTGCTGCTGATTCATCTCCTTTCTTCTGCTCATTCTCACGCAGTTTATCAGGACTTTTTATGTGACTTGTGTTTTTACTTTTTAAAGGATGTGACTTGAAATATAGTGCAACACTTGTGATAAATAGTATGCTACTCATGTAAAAGTATAATTACTCAAAGAAAAGTACTCAAATTACTCTATTAAAAAATAGTGTTGCCGTTACATTTTTAAATGTAATCTCAGTTTTTTTGTCATTTAGGTGAATTAACCCTTTGACCCCACCATCAGAATACCAGCAATCTTGATACTTCACATTCTCAGACTGAACAGCTTGTCATGTGAGCCTTTTTCCATGTCACTCCCAGCCTCTGGCCACCCTGAACCACTGTAGATGCCCTGGCCCGTCTGTAAATAGCCATGAGAGCTTTTACTGTTCCACTCAAGCCGGGGTGTAGTCTAAACCTGGGAGACTTAATGCACAAAACAGCTGCTTGCACAGAGACACATCTACAGAGCTGCCCTGTGCTGGGAAGGAATGCGGCATCCTCCCTCATGGGAGTGTTGGCTGATGGGAGAAATGGAAACAAGTCTCTTGTAGTCAAACCAAAATACTTCCGTCTTCATTTGGCCTAAATCTGACTCCGGGGTTAGTTTTGCCTTTGTGTGTCAAAATTAGAGTTTTCAAGAAGCAGCACTCGATGAACTTGCCCCCAATTAAGACTAATCTGGCAGAGGTTTCGGTGACCAGATACCTACTTTATAAATATTCTCTCAGCTGTGCTTGAATAAAGCATGCCCCAGTTTGAACCCTTGTGGAACCAAGCAAACAATGGTTTTTGGTGCTTCAGAATCATGACAGCTGAAAATGTGATCAACCAAGCATCAAGGCTGGGCTGTGCCAGTGTGTGAAGTACTGGCCAGTGCATCTCCCAGGTTGCTTATTGCATGATTACGTAAGGAGATGTTGTTGTGTGATGGCCGACTGTGTTTGCAGGTGGAGCATGTTCACCCCTCTCCTGGAGGTGCGTGGGTCAGAAGGAGAATCGGCCATCAGAATCCAGGGCTCCTGCTGTCCATGCCGCTGCTTCTCCAACCAGCAATTCCAGGTAGAAACATTTAAGCAACGCAAAATAATGCAATAATAATGTGTTTCTACAAGTGTGTTTCAATCAGTATTTCTGGCTTTTTGTTCATACACTAGATTGTCTCCAACATTGGTGAGAAAATGGGCACAATATGGAAGAAATGGCCCGGCTTCAATGTGGAACACAACATGGACCATGAACATTTTGGGTTGGAGGGTGAGAATGATTTTCTAATTCCTCATGAAGTGGTCCCAAAACTACTCCCGACATGTCCAAAGATCAAAACAAAGCAGAGTTGAATTGGATGTAATTAACAATGATGAGAACATGACATTTGACTTTTGACTTAGCTTTCTCATTCATTTCTTTAGTGCAAATGAAAAGTAGCATGTGAACATTGAGGGTTTCTCAAATCCTCTGTAATCATGACACCGCATACTTTGGAACCACCGTCGTAACGCATTGTAAATATAATTTTAATGTCACTTTTTTAGTGCCACTCAATATGGAATCACATACTAAACTGCTGCTGCTGGCGGCCACGTTCTTGTTGGTAAGTATGTGAATTATTATCACTCTCGCTCCTGTGTTTCGTTGTATTAAAATAGGCCAAAAGAGACAGCAGAGGTATAAATAGTGAAACTAAAGATGGCTAATCCCATTTAGCCGCTTCAGTTTCAGGGTTGTGTTGTGTGTGCTTCCGTCATCGTTTACTAGATTACTTAATGTCTGCTGTGAAAAAGGGGCTACATAATTCATGTTTTCTCTACAGAATTATATGTTCTTTGAAATGAGCTGATCAATCGAGGGTAAACCGGACATCGGTGAAAGTGGTCTACAAAAATGAGGCGCACCCGCCGAGTCAGTGCATGGTACAAGAAACTGCATCGTTGAATTGTATTTGTAAGACAACCATTGAAATGTTCGGTCACAACTTCCAATTTATGAAATAAAATGACATGAAACCAGCTTTAGCAGCAGATGCATATTTGACATTTATTGCTATAATCCATCAGGTGTAGATCCAACAGTGTCTCTTCACTGCCGACGCACACCTGCACCCATCATCGCACCACCAAACACGGGCAGCATTACAGTTTTTCAACAAACTATAGGCGCTTTCTTGACGCGATTCCAAAAAATGCTCCCAAGGAATTGATAGAAACTTTAACAGACCCTGACCGTCGGCCCAGTCTCGTTTCTTTTTTTAATACAAACTGGCAAAAGGAGTGACGGTCAGTGTTTCAGAACTCCTACACACATTTGATGAGGACATTAAAGCAGAGCCCATCCCCTGGATTCTTTCAAGGCGGGATGAAGACAAAACAGACAGAAGGGGAAACTGGTTCAGGGTCAGGCTCGAGGCCAGGCACAGTGATTTAGGCAGCTTGGCAGTCCATTCTTAAGATGCCAGTTATACAAACTTCTGCCCAACACAGGATGGGCCTCATCCTTTGGGATTCGACTTCCAAGTCAAAGATGGAGAATCATTGCGGATCCAGTAAAGTGATCTTTGAAGTGGACTGTATTTACAAACATATCGTACACAATAACAGTTAGCATTCTAGTTCGAAATGACCAGAGAAATTGTAGTTAAAATACAGCACTGTAATAAAATAACATCTACCTGCCACCCTGTTTGAGTCCCAATAAAACAGATTAACAGAGATTAATTTGAAACAGCAGGAGGTGTGATGTTATGTTAAGCAATAAAATCAGATATAGTACTATAACAGATTGGTTTTGTTGTATTTTGTCAAGTACACTTTGTCAACAGCTAGTAACCAGATCAGCAAACACCAGTCACATGGCCTCCCTCTGGTGGCAAGTTGACAGATGTTACATCTTGCATTAAAAAAATAAAATGAAATTGGAGGCTTTGTTCTTCTCTGGTTGATTAAAAATAACGCACGTTTCTCTCTTCGGCTTGGTTCGGTGTCCGTGACCGGCTTCTCTGTTCATTTCCAATTTGACGCAAAGAAGGAATGGTGGTGTTCTTGCCTCTGTTCCTGACTTTTGCTCCGTCTTCATGTTACACAGCGCCAATTTCACGTAGAAGTATCCTTCCCCGGACTCGTCATCCTCCAGCACATCACATATACATACACACCTACGCACCACGAACAGAGACAAACAACATTAGCAAGAGACAAAGTACATAAGAGACTATTTATTTCCCTCCGAACCACCAATGTGGCAACAGCTCTTACTCTTGCAGAGGTGGTCTGTGTGAGAGGCTAAAGTCCACCACTAGGATTCACCAGTCCATGGAAGTCTTCCCATGCTCTGCCAACAAAGGATGCAGCACATCATCATTCAAAATAAACAAACCGTTTGGATATTTAGGTCTTTTCAAAAAGAGAATCACAACTATAATCCCGACACTAATGAATTTAGATCAAAAGCAGGTGAAACATGTTGAAGTTACAGACAAGGTTGTATTTTACTTGATAGTCTTTTCATAACATACAACAACAAATAATAGAAAAACTGATTTATTGGTTATATTGTTGACATTTTAATTTAAATGTACAATTTACAAAATGTCAGAAAACTGTAAACAAAATCATCAGTTTCCAGAGCCCAACCAATAGTTTTCAACCAATAGTCTGAAACCAAAAAAATATTTAAATTAGAAGCAGCAAATCTTCACATTTAAAACAGCTGGAACAAACAAAAACAAGAAATCACCACAATCTTCTGTCTTTGTGAGAAACATTAGCTCTGTTTTATATCATTGAAGCAACACTAATGCATTATAGCAAGTCAGTAAGAGTGTAATTTGTGAGTATGTGTGAGAGAGAGGGAGAATAATTGAACGATGAGACATACATACTTGATGCTGTCATTGTGAGTCTTGTACTCCATGATGGTGTTGGGGGGCAGGTTGAGGACTCTGCGCAGGGTGTCTCTGATACGGGCGGTGGTCGCCTGGTCGCCAGCGGTCTTGTTCCAAATGGAGATGATGTCCTCCTGGAGAAAAGAAGCAGAGAAGGCATGTCTGAGTAAACCGAAGTAGGCAGCGTGCGTGACTCGGTACAAACAGGCGCGCGTGTCCGATTGTGGGTTTACCTGGAAGCGTACCGACACCACGGCCCCGCAGATCTCCTCTCCGACCATGAACTGCTCCCCGAGCATGGCCAGGATCAGGTTCTCCCAGCAACGAGATGCCAGGCCTTTCCTCAGACGGATAATCCACTTCCCACCCATCTTATTGGCATCATCCTAAAAGCAAGAGACAGGGTTTCAAAGAGGGCTTTGCATGTATAAAACCAAATAGATACGATTCATTACAAGATACGGTCTTAAGTGTATAAGATCGCAGTACTCACCTCCCACATAGGTTTAATACCCTCCTTGAAGAGGTGGAAGTCACTGTGGCCTGTCAGATCACCGGGCCGGATCATGTGACTATAGAAACGCCAGAACTGCTCCACCTTGGGAAGGACGAAACAATGTTTGTATCAGAATGAGTCAGTCAGGATAAACTACATTTTCATTGCAGACTAAATGCAACAGCACCACCCATGTAAGAAGGCCTTACCAGAAACAACTGGGTATTCAATACAAGTGGAAACTTTTCTGTATTCACAATGAAGAGATATTTTAGAGACAATTGCAAGTGACAAATAATTGTTTTTAAAGATGTTTTCAGAGACCGCCCCCCCTCCCCAAACTTTTGCTTTTGAAGGTTTTTTATTCAGAGGGTCTCCCGTGTAGTTCGCACACCGGTATGCCCCATCTAAAAGAAGTCATGTGGAGGGACTTACCGAGGCGAAGATGCCAATCTGTTTAATGTTCTGCTCGTAGCTCTGAGTACTGGCTGGTCTCCCTGGGGTGCGTCTGGAGTACCAGAAGGTGTAGTTGTATTGAAGAGGGTGCTCTCCTGCCCCTGGCACCACCATCTGCAGAACATCAGAAAGTGACTGAGACACACAATTAACCTTAAAGCTCCAAAAACACACACACACACACACCAGTCATTCTCTAATAGCTTTAATAATACCTTTTTCTTGATGTTCTGGTCCTCGTCTTCAGTTTTTTCCTTCTCACCGTCTTTCGGTGAGCCTTGGTCCTGGTCGTGGTCTCCACTGTCATCATCTTTCAGACTGGAATTGATGAGCAGCAAAAACAAAAATGTTTGTGTCATGCACCGACTTCTTTTAAAGTAAGAATGACTTACAACTCTGTTGGCAAGTAATTAGGTACAACGTTACCTGGCTTAATACAATGCTGTCTAAAGCAACAGAAAGACAGGTCACTTTCTGGTGTTAACAAGTTTGTGGTGCTGTTTGTGTGTTGTGTTTTAGTCAAAGGTCTTTATGCTATTCAGTGTGCCCTCATTAGTATAACAATGGGAAACACTTTTACCGTTTGTGATGCACACGTACACACCTGTACTTAATCTACTCTGCTCGTGAATATCCTACGACACACGGTTAGCTGTCAGCCCGTACTTTAAGGCCATGGGAGTCGAGTTTGAACCGAGACTGCGCGCACGTCTCACCGCCTCTCGACAACTGCCACACCGAGGATTCAGGGCCTGTCCGCCTTCCGCAATGCTAAGCTACAGCTAACAACAGAGCACATCCCCATTTATACAATACTATGTACTCTTTGTTGTTACTTCCCTTCGTTTTAAACGCACTTGTGTGTGTGTGGACCTCGCTCTCGTGGGGGTTTATAAGCCTAACGTAGCACAGAGCGTGCAGGACCACGCAATTAAAGCTGACACACCTCTTTTAACACGCAGCAGCTTTCATTAGCGTTATTCTCCCACGTAAATGTACAGTCGCGACGGGGGCCCACTCTCTGGCAGATATCCCACGGAAACTTTTGATTACTCACGCGTCAAATTTGTTGTTCATTATTTTCTAGGTAGGAAGCCTTTCGGAGTCCGACCAGTCTCCTGAATTCCGCAGGAACAGCAGCGAGCAGAGCAGACTCACGTGCACGCGCACGCAGTGTATTAGTCGTTGTGATGAACGTGGGGGTGACACATAGCTTTCCTCAGTTTTTGACCTAATTAATTCATTTATACGCACTGGAAATCCAAATATACACAAATATAAAGCCAAAATCACATCAGATAATATGGGAAATATAAGCACCAACTTATCTTTTAACATTTTATTCATCATGTCTAACTCCCAACCATAATAAATACACATCACTGTACCACTCTAATCAGTTAATTATAGCTTAGTAAAAGTCTCTGTTAACACTGGGTCTAATGAATCATCAGAAAACCCTGTGACTTCGACACAGACATGGCTACAGGCAGGCAGACACACCAACACACATACGCAGCCTCGACACAACAAGGGCCGGCGGCCTCTTTTCATGAAGCGGCCTCCTCTGATGTGCCGCATCCCTCGTTTCATCACTTCCATCCATCCGCTTGTCATCTGTTCTTGCGGCAACTTCAAACCATGGCTCTGTTCAGGTCCAGGCAGAGCTGTGGACCGAGTCTGGGGGGACAAAAAGGGAGCTGGAGGGGGGGAGGGTGAGGATGGAGTCAGGAACAAAGTGGACTTCTTTGGGTCCAGCCTGGTGAGCATGTTTGGGAATGAGGACTGAAAAAGAAACTGTCTGAGTCTTGAGACAAACCATAGAGGCTAGGTAAGGAGTAGAGCGTTTGGGGGTGAGGGACGGGAGGATGGCTCTGGCATGGTATGGCACGTTATGGTGTGGTGTGGTTTGGTTGGCTCTGCTGTCAGAGACCAACCCCTCGCCCCTTGCCCCCTGTGCCTCTGTGAGGACCTTCATGAGAGGACCCTTTGTTCCAGGCCGGCAGGCGTACCAGTGAGTGAATGAGCAAGAGCAGCGGCGGCCCTCTTCAATTGCGGCTGTTTGTTTACACCACCAAGTCCCGTCATACTTCATTAGCAGCCCAGCCCACCGACAACCTCTGATGTCCTAATCGCCGATGAGTGTGTGGCTGCCCATCAGCCCTGAGCCTCAGCGGTTCAGAATAAAGAGGTTTCCAGGATTCCCACTAAATCAGCCTGCCTGCCTTCTCAGCCACTAGTGGTACAAATAAATACACATACATGCACACACACACACACACAGCCTCCGTGGTGAGGGTGGATGGGAGAACTGGTTCTTTCATCGTGGGCCAAGAGGCACCGGGAGGTGAGCCGACGTCAGTGGAGCAGCAACAGTCCCAGAGAACTAGCTTTGCATCACAGAGATGTGAGAGATCTGCCGCCCAGAAAGAGACAAAAGCAAGACAGAGCGATTATTCAGTGCTGCCATCCTCTGAGCACAATCACAGACTTTAAAATGTGGCTTTAAAAAGGTAGCATTCAGCTATAGATTGATTGAATGTTTTTGATTAATAGTTTGAATTTGGTGTCTATTAAATGTGCAGCATCCTTTACTATCTATGTGTCTATCTGTCATTGGGTGACTGATGAAGATTCTGCTTTATTGTAGAGTATATAGGTTGTGTTTTTACAGAGCCTGTAAATCACAATAATGAAGCATTTGGTGAAATAAAGAAGACCCATCAGCTAGTGTTGTCTTTCCCACATTTAGCGCTGCACAATAACAAGTTACTTCAATGAACTGACCTCCTGAATGGCTCTTCCCAGTCTCTCCTGGCTCTTCACCACCTTCCTGAAAGAGACACACATACATTATTATTTCTGACAACAACAACAACAACAACAACAACAACAACAACAACAATATTATAAGCTACTGCTATTAGCTGTGTAATCCCGTTCTAATGACAAGAAGAGAGCCCACCTGTGTATTCTGCGAGCCAGGCTGAGGGTGAAGTTTGCCGAGCAGTCGGGCTGATAGGTGGACGGCACGATGGTGTAGTCTCCGGGAGAAAGACAGCAGGCCAGACTCACATCCTGGGTGTAGCAGTGAGGGACACAACTGGCTGCCGGATCCTCGCCCCTTGGTAACGTCTGCTCAGACTCCCCTTCTGGAAACTGGATGCAGAGTGATGATCAAATGCTGTATAATTACATCCATTAGCTATTTTATTTTAACATATAGTGTATTAAGAATATTTTTTATATTTCATATGTTTTTCTTTACAGCAGATAATAATTATAATAATACAGATATCTTAAAAGTCTGTTTATAATCTATTTATAATTGTGTCAGAACTACAAGTGCACATGATTTGCTGATCTAACACTGGCACTTTCACATTGATGTTTATTTAAACGTTGATGAACGGCTGAGGTTGAATGTTCACAGAGGTGAATGGCCCCGTACTTTTAAATGACGCTGGTACTCTCCCTGAATGTTTCACTGACCTTGTATATGTGAAAGCCAATAGGGTGGAGATCCGTGTCAGGGCGGCTCTGGTGCAGGTTAATCCTGATATTAACTCCTGACGTCACTGCTGACTCATCGCACACTGTGAAAGGGAAGCAGGGGTTCTGCCAGTGAGACAGGAAATTCCTGCTTCCTCCGGCTGTCCTTCCCTCCGCCCACGAGCCCCGGAAGTAACTGCTCTCCCACTCTCCATCTGTTGTCAATGGCAGTGTAGGTGCTGGGCTTTTCAGGGCACTGAGGAGGACACCAACATTGTCATGTCAGGAAAACTTCCATTGAATCACAGCACTTCACGTGGCAAAACACGGAAGTAGGAAATAAAAATGAACCAGCAGATGTCACTGTTTACTTGCTGTCATTCATTTTTAAGGGACATCATGACCACAGAAAGTCTGTGTGTGTCATTTGATTTTATCAACCGTTCCGTCTGATGGAGTTCATACTCGGCGGGTGTTTTGCTGAGGACCCAAGAAATTACAAGTGTCAAGTGTGAGCTCTTGAGATCTACGGGACAAATGCAGTAGAAGTGCATTATGTACACACTGCTTGGTGTAACGAGAGGGGACCACCGAAAAGCATTCTGGGTAAAGCTCACTCTCCGTCGCTCACTACGGCACATTCAAGAATCGCTGAAGTAAGACAGACCTTAGAGACTAGAGATCTACCTACAGTGTGGGATGTTTGTATGAGCGGTTACAGGAGGCCTGTATTCTGAACAGTCACGTGTTGAACAGGCAGTGCACTAGTGAAGCATAAATCGTGATCTCAAATTAATAAATCGTGCACACAAATACGAAGAACACATTTAACAATGGTGTTGATAACATGCGTAAGGGCGCTACATGATATTCAAAGCATCAGTAAAGCATCAAACAACTATTTGCAATTTAAAGATATAGTAATGATGCAATAATAATGATGTTAATAATAATAATAATGTAATCCGAGCTTCTCTGTGTTTTGTTTACATGGCTGAGCGTGCCTTTTAACCCATGTAAGTGCACGAGAGCGTGAGCCATTGGCTCGCTCCTGTCCAATAGATATGCTCTGAATTCTGTATCGAGTACATTTAAGGGATGTTAAAGATAACACAACACCACGAATGGAAGCAGATATTGTGTTATTTTTCATCCATTAAAATGCGTGAATTGTAACCTATTGTTTCACAATTTCTGTTCAGTTCCGTTCATTTGTGCATCCAATTTGACTGATTTGAGATATTGAATTAATAATTTTTGCAAACCAATTAGTCCCCCCCCCCTCTCTATGACACCCTTTGGGCTCCAAAGAAACAACGTTACACATATCTCTAAAAGTACCGTAACTTTTTAAAGATGTAAATACAGTAAATCTCTATGATCTGTAAGTTCAAACGTTATTATGAAAAACAAACATAACCTGGATGCGCTGTATGTTTCCTCATAATGTTTCCATAGAGAAGACGAGCTTGTTGCTCCAACTGGTCCTTACCTGAGGGACGTGGAAGAGGAGGAAAAGGCCCTGATGAGGAAGCGGGCCTCAGCTCCTGGCTGGTAGGTGCTGGGGATCAGCAGGTAGTGTCCAGGCTCCAGCTGCTCACGGAGGACCACCTCTCTCTCGTAGGCATGGCAGCGAGTAGAAGCACAGGGAGGTTTGTTCAACATCCGGCTGAGATTAAAACGCCTCTTCTCCACCTATTGACAGAAACATGTGAGTGACACGATGTAAAGACACAAACATTTACTTTTCTAGAAGTGATAGCACAGACCTTCCACATGTGTAGAGCAATAGCCTGGTAGTGCTGGTGTGTTGTGTTGTTGCTATCCTCGAGTGCCGTTTGTGCGCATTGCTCTGTGTGTCTCTGTTTTCTATGCTGTAGCAGGGACACCAGCACCTCTCCTCTCTCACACACTTTGAGCCAGAACTTTGGGTTGCTGCCGTAGCTGCTGCTGTTTCGGCTGCCCCCGGCCGAGTGCCCTTTCTTCCACCGGCCCGCCAGCTGATGGTTGTGTGTCAGCAGATTTCCTGTCGGAGAGAGGAGCGTTGCGAGGTTTTAAAAAAGGGCAGACGAGGAGGTCAAAGTCAGTTTAAAACAGTCTTGAGCGAATTAAGGGAATCACCAGTATAGATGCTCTTTAGGTGCCCCTCGTCACTGATGGGGTAGCCCACTGTCACATCATCAAACTGGGACAGAAATTCAGTTTCATCCAACCAGAACTCGCCCTCCGCAACCCTGGCTTGTAGGTCCAACGCAGAAACGGGGTCGACAGAACTCCAACCCAAACCACTGCAGACAAAGAGGAAGACCGAGTGACTGCAGACTGGGGCTGAATCTAAATGGCAGACTTGTGGATTTTAAAAGGTGCGTACATGTGAGTAACTAAATCATGTCCGCAAGGTGCTTTAGTGCATCTTCTCTGGACTTTCTACAGACTTTCAGAGTGCTGAGCCTTAGTGCAGACTTGATCAGATAAACCATTCATATATCATCATTCAATAACACTGAGATATAATTACATTGTCAACACATAGGTCATACACAAGGCAATGACTGTGGTGTGAAGGCTCAGCTCTTAATCTTAACTATGACACACATGCCTACCTCCCTATCCAGGCCCCTCCCCAGCAGCATCTTCCCCAGGGGTTTCTGATCCTGAGCAGCAGTACTTTGCTCCCTGACACCATCTGGACATCCAACCACTCCATCACAGTCATGGCGTGGTACTGACCGAGCTCACTGGCACCTGCAACAGTCATCGAGGTCATCAGGCGATGTGACACAGGATCAACATCGCTTCTATCTGCAAGAAAACAACTTCTTTCTGACCTCCTGGGCTGCTGTGAGTGGAGCAGCTAACCGCACACTCGTCTTTCACTGGAAACAGAAGGTTCAGGTCCAGGATTCTCCCCGTGACCTGGTCGCTGTCTTGTTCTGGTCTCTGCTGCTCCTCCTCTGCCTCTCCCAAGCTCCAGCGTTCAGCCAGGCCCCCGGTAAAATCCACCAGGGCCTCGGACACCTGCCCTGCCCACAGTCGCTCATATGAGCCATGAAGCCTGAAGAGGAAGGAAGGGAAAATTTCACTAAACACGTAGTTGGTTCATAGTGTTGTTCAAAGTAGGTTTAAAGTGAGAGATAAGATGGGAAATTCCACGCGTTACTTACTTGGCGTAGGCTTTCTCCAACAGGGCAACCCAAAAGGCAGTTGGGGAGTGGCAGCGTGAGAAGCAGAGAGTGGAATTGATACAGGGCAGGCGGTCGTCGATGGTCACTTCTGTCCAGAGTCCCTGCTGCCAAAAACAAAAGTGGAAGGAGCCCCTGTACCTGCTGTCGTCCCACTGGGGCTGCTCTGGAGGCAACACCTGCAGAGAGTCACAGATCAACACAGCAGTAAAGGACACACAGCAGACAGCATGCTCACGACCTACACAGTCAATGCAACCGAGTCTAAGCACTGGGCCAGAGCCGTAGATCATTAACATCTATTGAAGTCTAAATGACAATACAGTTGTTGCTCTACCTTGTTCAGTAGCTGTTTATTCTTGAGCAGGAAGGTGCAGGCACAGAGAAACCAGCAGTCTCCTAATAAGCCTTGTTTTGCATGACCCAGGCTGACGTTGTCAGGGAAGAGAGCGGGCGACTGGCAGATCTCCTGGAGGTGTAAAAGAAGACAGAAATTGAGAAAAACACACTTAAAGAAGACTTGCAATAACTCTGGCATTTGGGTTTTGGGGAGTTGAAAAAAAAAAACGAGGTGCAGAAATGAGTTAACAGAAGATGTCAACATGAAGGTCAGGGCCTCATAAATATTGGTTGTCACCCAATAAGTTTCTTCGGGTTGCAAGATGATAAACAATTTAATAAAAAACACATGTCTTTTACTACATATATTTGCTTTTTGTAACCTGTACGCACTCTTTCATAACCCAATCAACCAGCTGATGAGGGGAATCCTTCTGTGGTTGAACAGATCAACCTGTGACAGGGTGATGCAACATTCAATCTCCGACAAAAGAAAACGCACAAGGAATACACGACGGCATTTCCCACTTCCTCTTAGCACTGGGTCTGACCTGCGGGCGTCTCCAGGTGATTTCACCCTGCAGCCGGGCGATGGGCGTGGAGCTGTCAGAGAACAGGGAGGCGTCGTCTGAGGGGAAGTCCTGGTCCTCAAACAGAGCCTCGCCTCCACACTCTGCTCCACCTGCTTCTTTCATGGCTCCTGCTTCTTTTTCAACCTGGATGGAACCTGCTGGGTCCGTGGGTGAACCTCAGCCAGCTGTGACCATCCTCACGGCCTCTTTGTACACTTCACACATGCATTACACCTAAAAACAAAGTTACATTAAATATGAATGAGATGTTGTTTATTTGTGGTTTGGTGCAAAGATCACCAGCAGAAAGATGCAACCTGCTGTAGATGTAGGTAGTTTAACTCTATTTATCTGTGATCATAAAGGGACTGTTTTGTGTGTGTGTGTGTGTGTGTGTGTGTGTGTGTGTGTGTGTGTGTGTGTGTGTGTGTGTCTTTATTTTCTTCTTTTTGTTTGGGAATACTTCAACAAGTGTGTTATGTTTATTTTATTTACGACAGAAACAAACAATATCAGTTCACCTTCCCTCATAATCCATTAATATGTGTATAATAAAATGTTACAATGAACATATATTGTAACAACATTGTATGCATGTAGTTTTAGGGGGAAACATACTTTGGTTATTCGCCTAGCTTAAGTGATAAAAGAAAAATATTAACTGTTACCCAGAACCGTAATAACTGATATAAAAAAAAAGCTGTATGAATATATCTCCAAACCAAACTGTAATATTGCAGGTAATTGCAGGTAAATGCAGGTAATTGCAGGTACTTGTGTGGAGCACCTCTGTTTCTGTTTCTCACCTTTCTCCTCTTCGAAGCATTCGTTCTTCATCACAACACATCAGCTAACCGTTAGCTCCAGCTAGCTTAACCTGCACACATGTAGTAGCATCGTATCTCCGTATCGCTCCATCTTATCGTGGTTTCACAGCCACAACCACGATTACATCGAGTTCTATTTCTCCCAAAAACATGAGAGATGTCATTATGATCAACAGTTATACATACAAACCAGGCGCGTGATTCTTGCTGAGTATAAATACACGTAAAAGTCTCTTCCGCCTGGACGTCCAGCAGTTCATTCATAAAGTGAATCCTTCCTGTGCAGCTGAACACGCCCGCCACCTACTGTCGGTATCGGGAATTACACACGGTCGACTGCCGTTTGTACGGATGAAAATAAATTATTATTATTATCAGGTACATCTGGCTAAAACTAATGCAGCCTAATTATATTTTTTATATATAGATATATATATATATCATATTATAATATAACAACCCTGCAATAAATCCTACCTTAATAATGATTATATTGTAAAAATTCCATGGTGATGTTGGAGGATGTAGTTTGTGATGCTGTTGTGAATTGCATTGCGTTATACTAAGGGACGCTTCCAATATGTTGTCCTCCTGTTGTTTTTATTATCAGTGAGTGTATACTAAATATGTGAAATACAGTAAATGCAGCAATTAAACACAGTTTTAAGAAGCGAACCTCCATGAAGTTGGGGTTTATTGCAGGGTTGTTGTCGTAGACTGCAATATAGTTAAGTGGCAACTGAGGATATGTAAACTCAAGCACTGTCCTTAGTATTACTGCCAATTTTACTTCCCTGTTTTCTCGCCATCTTTCTTTCTTTCTTTCATGTCTTTCTTGTGTTTTCCCTTTTTCTATCAGTGTATTCACTCCTTCCATTATTTCTTCTTCTCTTTTGTCATTCTTTCCTGCCTTTCCTCCTTCAGCCGATCAAAAAGGGCTTTTACTTTGGATCCTTGAGTACTCCTAATGCTTGTTCATTTCAGCAAAGAAATACAATTGTTCTCTGGCCATACAGATGGTTTTTCATCATTTATATTTAAAACATCAGATTTAGGTACTTGGATAGATGAACACAGAAAAAGTGAATGCAAAAATATAGTTTTTATTGGCTTTAAAGTAGTACGAAAATATATTAACTGACTTTGAAACAATACATTTAATTCTTCTTGCATATCTTTGTGTCTTTTAGCTGATTTGCTCAGGTGATCCCCACGAGTTAAAATGCTGTTCAATGTTTTCTAGTTGGAGAGACAAAAAGGAAAACATCACATTGAGTCACATTCACAGATTGTTGCATCTTGACTCAAGAAATTTGTTGAATACCGAGATGAACTTACTCTGGTACAGACTTCATGGCCTCTTTCACCCATTCTCTTTCAGGATCAGCGCAGAGAAGTCTGTTTTTCAAAGTCTTGAAACTGTATTAAGACAACAGAAGAAGTTAAGGCATTACAATGGCAGAGCCAACATCTCTGTTTGTTACAGTAGTGTGTTTCTTCTGAAGCACTGGTTCATCTTTCTTACATTATTGCCTTGATGTTGCAGTGATCTGTGACCTTCTGGATTTTGTAGCATTTCAGAAATTTCACAGGGATTAAATTTTCTTGGTACTGTCTGCAGCAAATGGGACCTTTAAAGAAAGACATTGCAAACATTTCAGCATAAAATAGGCAAAGTTACAGATTAAAAGAGACACTTTAATGTGAAAACAGTGCATAATCTATAGAAATACAGGCAACAACTGGTAATTTCCTAAATAAATAAGTGAAATGTATCATGTACAGTGAATAGTTGCTGAAGTCACTTACTGCTGTCACTCAGCACCACCAGCAGCACCAGTATAAGAGAGAGGCACACAGTAAGCTTCGCCATCCTCATGCAGCTTTTCTTGAGCAGGATGTCGGTTTTCTGATCTGGATTCTCAGACAGAATGAGCTGATGGCGTTAGTCTCAGTAAACTTTAAATACTCAAATGCCAAAGGTAATGTCCCACCACAGAGCAAGAAAGTACTGCTGGAAATACCGATGCTGCAATGTATCTGGGTCAAGTGGGAAGAGTGGGCATTGCGTACTTTTAATCACAATAGTGGTACAAAACCCCCTTTTCTCTGGGTCACGAGAGAACAATTAAAAGATGAAGTATACTGTACATGTAAAACACTTTCTGTTTTTTAAAGATACCTGCATGTTGTTATGTTGACGATTAATATTACAAAAAAGGTTGTACAGAACAATAAATGGTGTTCATTCCTTTGAATGTAAACACTATTAAATCAGTTCCTTTCAAATTGCATTATTTTACAACTTTATTTAATAAGCACACGTGGAATGTAACTACGTACTCATTCACTCAAGTACTGTACTCAAATATCCCTACAAATTTGAGGTATTTGTACTTGCTTACCCTCAATCTTATGCTACTTTAATCTTCTCCGCTATTTTGCAGATTCAAATGTCACACAATACAGGTGATCATTTTATACGATATGACATATTTTCATAGTTAAAACTGACGCGGTTCATTTTGACTATAACAATAACATGACTGTCAGGAGCGGTTCTGCGTACTTTTGCTCTTGATGTTTTTACTGTATATGCTGATGATACTTTTAGAATAGTTTTACTTAATTAAACAGTTTGAACAGAGTATTAGAATAAAGTATCTTTATGTTGGTATTGCCAAGTGCAATATCTATATACTTCTTACAGAACTGTTAACGTGGTAGGCTCATTGAGATCGGTATCTATTGTTCAAGAGAGAACTGAGAACCAGAATTATGCAACATACAATAGCAAAGTTTGACAGGAACCCCAAACCCCTACCTCACTGCACGACATCCTGCTGACCTTTTTTCCGCACACAAACAACATGATGAGGCAGCGTATAGAAAATACATCGTTTGCAATTATGACCGTAATTTTCATTGTATTTATTGTCCTCACATCAAATGACCATTTATAGCAATTTTTATAACATGTCAGTTAATATAATATACTCCTGGTTAATATAACACGTCGCCATCGCTCATACTAATTTGTAAACGTTGAGATGATGCAGATATGATTACCAAGTGAATGTAGTGACAAGCAAGTCAGAGTCAAATCAAACACACGTATGACAAAAGGTCCAAACATACGAGAAAATATCTTCTCTTTCATCAAAACACTGTCGTTTATTTTTCAGTGCAAAACATTCATTTAAGGACATGATTACATACAGTCTATGAGAAAGAAAAAGACATCTTGACACATCTCAGGAGGTATAAAATGAGTGACTGGATCGTTTTAGCTCCTTTAGTTTCAGGGTCGTGGTGGTGTTCATGCTGGTTCACTGTCACGCTGTCATGGCTTTACTGGGACAATAGGACAGAACAATCGTTAATGTTATTAGTGACAGATGTGCTTTTTCCTGCTATGACAAGTCAAAACGTCTGCTCAATCAACTTCGTATTATTAGCAAAAGGGCCCTAAAGGAATGTTTGGTAATTTCAAACTGCTTTGGTTAATTCACTGGCAGATTTGTGCATTTCTGTGTTTTGTCTCAGCTCCTCTGACTGGTTTGGAGTGGGCTGTGAAAAGACATACTGAAAGATCACAGCGGAGCTGTCACCTTAAACCCCCTTCTTCTTTCTGTGAGTAGGTCTTTTGATGTCTTGTTCTCACAGAAACCTGGATTCCTAAAATATCCCTTACATTAAGAATGATTTTTTTAAAGTTATGTTTTACTTTTTTAAAGCCAGTCTTAAAGCAAAATTCCCCATCTGCTCATAGGTACATTCACAGAGCTTTTATTTTAAAAGCAGAACACTTCATTTGACTAACAAAGTTCTGATGACTTATATTAACTTCAGCTGAATGAGAAATTTGAGTTTTGTCCACCGTCACCCACATTTGAGTCGCACTGGAAAGGAAACACTTCACGTCTAGTCTGCACAAGAGGAGCGATTACAGTGACCAATAAATCTTTATGTACATATGTACATGTGAGTATTACGTGTAAGCTCTGTCTCACTGCTAAAGTACATCAGAGACAATACTACAGTTGAGTTTTAATGCTGTAAAAATGCATAATGCAGGAAATTAGTGTACTTCAATTATGGTGTGGTTTTGCTGGAAAGTTTGTGATGTTTGTGCACAATTATACAACTATTAAGTTAAGTGTTGCGTGACCTATTTCACTTTTTCCCTTTGATGCATGCTTCTTGAGTAATACGTGTTCCTCTGACCTAGAAAAGAACCTCGGTACAACCTCAAAGCAACCTACTTATGGAGGTCCACATCTAGGCGGTGCACAACGAGGTCTCCGGTGGAACTTCATCTCTTCATCCTCTCTAAATTTTAAATCTCCGATTGTTTTCTTTGATCAAATAATATTCTACCTTAAATAGTACGTGCACTAAGAGAGGAGCCACACCTGCGTAACTTCCCATGTTGAACTGGCTCTGTATAGAACTCTTTGTTATATCAAGTTGTGGTGATTACACCTAATGCATGTATAATCAGATGTTCTATTATTTATATATTCACATTTGGTCGGCTCAACATGCGAGTGATATTAATTCATTCATATTGACGGTAAAATCACGAAAATTACAACACTGAATGTTCATATTAGTTGTTTTTTATTTCTTCCGCTGCAACTTTACCTTTAAACACCGTAAAATGTTCAACAACATAACATTCTACTACATGGGAATTTTTCCAAATTGATGTGATCTGTTTGATAATATCCACACAAATAATCATCACATCACTACCTTATTCACAATGGCAATATTGCTACTGTGTGTGTGTGTGTGTGTGTGTGCGTGTGATGTATTCCTCCCCACATCTTCCCCTATTTTCTTTCATTATGGAAAGTGAGGGGGGGGGTTTTCTATGATGGTGTAATACTTGATGTGTGTAGATCTCAACTGATCTCAGCGGAAGTTCCCTGCTCCTCTGAGGAATATAAAAGGAGGCAGTGATCAATAGCTCAGTCACCACCAGCTCTCTAACAGCTCCACCTGAGGACAGACGAGACAACAGCTCAGCTCAGCGTCACTGCTGCCAACACAGAGAAAGACATGGCGTCAATCAAAGCTACAGTGGCGGTGCTCACACTCCTCTCCGCTTGTCTGCTGATAACAAATGCATCTGCAGGTATGTTCTGTGTTTCCACCATCTCTTTCTTTTTCATTGTTTTTACTCATTGGTTTAATATCTAATTCCATACTCAGATATCTGGCCATAGACAGAACAAGTTCTCTTAACTTTTCTCTTTCTTTTCCCGTATCTAATCATCTTTTTCCTTGTTTCACAGGGCATTACGGATGTTGTCGAAGTTACATGACAGCCAAAATACCATTTCATAAGATCAAGGGGTACTCGGTCCAGACCGTCACAGAAACATGTCAAATCAATGCCATCATGTGAGTATCTCCTACTTCTCAACCAGAACATAAATAACACAAGACATAGCACCAGTGTTCATTAAAAGTGTACTCATGTTCATTTTGTTTATTACCTTTTGTAGTTTCCACACAAAGAAGGGTAAAGCGTGCGTGAATCCTGCTCTCAACTGGGTGATGCAGTACATCAATCATTTGGGGTAAGATCTTTAGCAAAGAAATTGTGCAATAGAGCAAAGACACAGCTTAATTCTGCTGTGAAATGTATTTACACAAGAGAATGGCTGAAATTATAACTTGTTCAATTGTCATTGCAGAAATAAAGCCCAAATGGTTCACATCAAGACGTCAAAAGCGCAGAACTAGAGTTATTTCTGCTTTTTGAAAATGGATGGTGGAGCCCAAGCTGTTTACCTGCCTGTTATCCAGTAACCAATGATGTTCCACAGTTTATCATTCAGTGAACTCCTGGTTGAAGCTAACAAAACTGCTGATAATAATAAAAAAAAAAGTATTTTAATACAGGCATTAGCTCAGTTGTAAGAGCAATGTATAATATTATTTTAACATTTTCATATTGTTTGCTATTGTAAAATGTTGTATTTGCACGTTTTTTTTAATATAAAATCATTAAAGTTGAAAAAACAAACAAACAAGTTGTGACAGGTCTCTTAATGGAAACACTACTCTGTATGTATTCTTGAAACTTTACACCGAACTGAAATGAACACAGGTGCACTCTTGCCTCATTTCTTTTATCTTAACTTCCTTGTTTATTTTGTCGCTGTGAGAAATTCCAGCTCTGGAGATTTTGTGTCCTGTAATCAAAACATGGCAAATAGTTGAACACGCAGTGGAAAACCTGTGACATCAGCATGAGGAAGTCGTGACAGCTGTTTATTTGAAGCACGTAGCAGAACAGGTATTAATTAAACGCTGACATCAGCTGTAAGGAAGTGAAATGCTCCTGGTGTTTCATTATAGGTCTATTGTGATTTTCTGCAGGGGCTACTGTTTTAAACATAGTAGTGCATATATATAAATGTATATACATACACATATATATACATATACATACATATATATACACATTCACATACACAGTATATGTATAAATTGTTTTTTTTAAATCAAAGAAGTAGAAAAGACATCATAAATCCAGTTAAAATCATAAAACAGAATAGGTTATACTGTGAAAATGAATGACCTGTAAACTTTTTCATGTAACAAAGATCCGCGTGTGCATGAAGTTATGTAATAAACTCTTTGAACACTAGGTGGCGGTAGTATCACTTCAAAGAAGAAGTCGTGTAAAATGATAAAAAATGAAATTTCTCAGCAACACTTTCATCAAGTTTAGCTGTTTCAGTGCTATTTGTCAGTAAACACAGTTCATCCCACAGCACGACGATGTTCAGTGCTGCATCAATCAATGATGTCGACTTTTAGCCGCATCCCCGCTCTCTTTCTTTCCTCTCTTTCAACATCTGAACACTTGCACATTTTGGGAGGGTTTCAAGTCTTTGAAATGTGACTTTTTGTGTATTTAAACTGCTAAAAGATATATATAATTCTGTCATGGATGTGCTTCGTGTCCGATCATTGGCCATCAGCTGTTGGCGTAGGAGTTGGCAACACCGACAAAGCCGAACAAATGAGTTTTCTCCTGTCGCATGAATCCATCCCAAATGACAGTCTGGAGCCACGCTGGCAGCCACCATTACATCACCTCCACTGTTCTGCACCAGCGTGCAGAGTGCTTTTCTATGAATAATACAGAGAGACTGGGGAGAGAGGGACATGGACATGGGTTACTAAATGACAGCGGGAGTACATCCTGTTAGATGGAAAGATGGGAGTCAGAAGCATATTCTGGAGGGAAACGCCACCGAATATGAGTTATACGTGGAATCCCCACCGTAAATAATCACATCAGACACTAACGCATGGATTCTGATTCAGCTTTATTGAATTAATCAGTCACACTTTCCCAAACACATTCCTACACGACTGTGTGTTTACATAACGTGAATTACTGATAAAGGACACAGTGTGGCAGAGTTGTTACAGATGGGTACAGTGGGAAATGGCAGCAGCATGGCCGCTCCCCGACGTCTGGAGGAGGACAAGTTTATAGACCTGTGTTTTCCCATGAGGGAGCAGGCTGCTTTGGTATAGAAAGAAAATAACATATTGCACTCTGAGATCAGCAGACAGGTCTTCTATCATGGCATATGTGCACACACACACACACACACACACACACACCCACACACACACACACACACACACACACAGGAAACCAGACAGTCTCTCATGAAGCTCAAACAAAGATAATGAGACATCCTCAGTCAGAGCGGTGAAAACAATCTTGTTTTTCAAATTGCTTGTATACCGGCACATTTGCAGCAACAACAGGGAGAATATTGGAATAAATGTACTAAAAACGAGATAATAATTTTACCGGTGCTGTAATTTTTCCACCTTTTTTGCTTCCCCTTTGTCCCCACTCTCGCTTTGTCATTGCTCATTCTTGCCGGCACAGTTAACAGTTTACCGAGCTCTGTATATAATTAGACAAACAAAAAAGAGAGGGATGAAACATCTGAAGGAGAAGAGACTCCAAATGATTACACATTCACTCTGCTTCCTTCCCCCTTGCTGCACACATAACCACCAATTAGAGGAGAGGAGGATGAGGACATGCAAGCCGCCAGGAGTCTATTTGTGTCTCTATCTATCTCTATCGCGCACGCTCTCTCTCTCTCTTTCACCCCCCGAAGACCATCCAGCGCTGGGGAGGGAGAAGGAGAGGAGAAAATAGAAGCGAAAAACAAGAAGTATATAAATAAAAAAAATCTGTGTTTCACATCCGGTCGGCTGATTGCTGAGATGCGAGTCAGGCAGATCTGGGCCACAGTTGCACTCATTGTTCAGCGAGCTTTTCTACACAGTCCAACCCAGCGACAGCAATGAATGTTGATTGTGACCTTTGGTCTTTGGGTACAGCGGAAACAGAGTGTCACTTTTGTGTGTGCGTCTTCTTCTCTAGATTCTGCATGCGCCCACATGCCCTTTTGTTCATTTCTTTTTTCTTTGTGCCCATTCCCGACGTCGTCAGAGGCAAGCCTCGGGGTACAGTCAACGGTCGATGGTTTTTATGTGATCCATACCAAAACTCACCGACAGCGTTGAATGTTCACCGAGGCAAGCAGGACTGTGACCGTGAGCCGAGCTGACAAGACGAGGCAGGGCGTAGCGGGGGGAGAACAGACAAGTCAGACAGGCAGGGGACAGGGACAGAGCCGAGGACGTGATTCAAACCCCAGAGGCCAGGTCGCACAGCAGAGGGATGTAATGCAACAGGACAACGACAGAATGAGTCCACTGTCCACAGGGCAAACGTGGTTCTGGTTATGTTATACATGATCATGCGTGTTTAAGCTGGAACATAAACTGAGAGGATGTGCTGTACTGCATCACCACCACCTCATTAATCGCAGGTCCTTCTTTCATCTTCACTTCAAAATTGTCCGGAACAGCATCTGAAACACAGATGAAGAGGAAGATGCTAGCACTGATGTTGCACGGCATTTTTTTTTTTTTGGTGTCCAAAAAAATTGCAGATACAGCTGCTACATACAAGTTTTGGTTTTCTTTTGCTCAGGTTTTCAGATATCCGTCTCTGGGATTTCTGCTGTTACCCCATAAAAGAGGTGAAGGTAACAGCATTGAGAAAACATTTCTTAGGATTCAAACACGTTTCTTTCCAGAAACAAAGTCCCAGCCACTCTAAATAATCATAGGGCCTTATAAAAGTAATGTTTCAATGCAATAAACTACACAGATGAAATTCAAATCACCTTCATTGTTTTGGGGTGATCAAGAAAAATGAATATATAACACCAGGCTTAAGTTTTTGAAATTCGAGTGACCCGACGCTTTCATCAGATACGGTTCACAAAGAAATAAATATAAATGTTTTAAATAAACAGAATAAATAGACGCTGCACTCCCCCCCCCCCCCTCCCTCTATGGTTTGACATTGCTCAGAACAACATGAGAGAAATATCTTTGAGCCGGCCACGGTTCTTATAGACATCTAGTCCGGAGAACAATGCTGCGATGTCCCACTGTGCAGCCAAGCTTTTCAGACCCCAGCCATCGCCCAACCACAGGCTGAGAGCTCCCATTGTCAGACGCTGGGCAGAGCCGGGGAACAGCTCCCCGACAGTGTCATCGCGCTCCTGCGCAGACCGGGGGGCTGACGTCAGGAGGGTAAACGCTGATCTACGGTCATTCATCGCACTGTTTCATCGGCTTAGTGCGCTGATGTCATTGAGCAGGCTAGACCTGCATCCATTACTCTGCTGAGCGAGGCAGACGTCAGGCTAGCATGATCACACGCACTGGTTACAATGAATGAGTAATGCATCGCGGTGTGGCAGCTATAATTCAGAAGGTCATGAAACAGACAGTTCGCTTTTTGTCTGCGTCTTTGAATTATCGCCTCCGCATTCTTTCACCGCATGCTTTCCTTCATGAATATGTTAAAATCTACATTTATTTGGATGAGCATTAAAAAAAAAATAAAAATGTAACCAAATAATAAATAGTGTGCCACTTAGTAAATTACATGAAACACAAGGTTTTTTGGAGCCTTTTCTGTTTTTTTCTAGTGTCTGAACTGCAGCCTGTGAACTAGAAGTCTCTCTTCTCTCATGGTGAAGCAGCTCAGATAAGAGACTAAATTCATAAGCCATATTACATCTCCCCTTCTCTATCACAGTCTCTCTCACACACACACACACACACACACACACACACACACACACGCCTCACCCCACAATGAGACCTAAAACGATAAATAGGCGGAGGGTCGAGGGAGAGAAGGGGGGGCTTTGCCATGGCAACCCCAGTGTCAGCCAGCCATTTCTTCTTAATCCCCCCCCAATTCAATGTCGCACCCTCTGACAGACCCCCTCTCTCTACAGCTGAATATTTCTTTTGTGTGAAGAGACTCAGTGTACGTGTGTGTATGTGTGTGCGGGAGGGTGGGATCACGGAGGGGGGAGGGATTGGGGTTAGAGGGGGGGGGGGGAGAGATCATAGCTAACCCAGCTTAAATATGGGGCCAAGCTGCAGGCCACAGAGTCTCAACATTACACCGGGGGTACTAACCAGAGATCAAATCACACAGACACTCACACACACACATTTAAACACTATATTGATGGAGCGAGATCATCTTTTGAAATGGCGGATAATTACATCATATGGCAAACAGCCGGGCCTTTCGTCTCTCTGAGCCCATCACCAACAAACTCTGCACTTTATCTTTTTTCCTGCGATGAAACTCTCGCCGTCTCCTGCTCTTGCGTGAGCAGGCCGCTCGACATTACCGAGAAAAGCGTTTTTTGTTTTTTTGGAAGAGTGGGAGGGGAGAGGCGTCAGCTGCTTGACAAAATTAAAAGGCCTCCGTTTGTTCCCGACAATAAACGTCCCCATCTTTGGAGCTCCTCCACAGCTGCAGCCAGATAGGCTTTCATTTCTAAGTGCGGACTAATAGAGAGCGATGTCTCCTTCCTCGACGGTAAGCCGATTTAGTGTGCAGGATATAAAATTCAGGGAGCTTTATAGTCATCTTTCTGTGATGCCTCTCCTCCAAGAAAGAGGACAAAAGAATGTGACACATGGTGGATATTCAGTAATGGAGAAACTTAAGGATTTCATGAAGCCGTTTTAATGATGATGTGCCGTATATATACCTGATGGAAATGATCTTCACGGAGTCACAAGCAGGAGGCACAATGTGAAAACCTAGAGGCAGAAGACAAAAGCAGACAAAGACAAAACGGTTAGGAGGCCATGTCTGATTTTTTACAGTGTACGGAAACAACAGAAGAAAGCTTTTCTGGGTATCTTGACGATCTATTATATAAATTCACAATTAATCTGATTTCAAGTAGTAAGTTTCCTAATCAGCAGATAATTAATGTCCGGAAATCCCAAAACAAGCTTCCCCTCAAGGCTGAGCGATGGCAGCGGGTGAAGGAAGCGCCAGTGGTGCGTCTCTGGGGTGGTCCGAGGTGGCCGTGGGCGAGACTTTAATGTAGCTGCATGTCCACTCCGGTGTATACTGTACATTCACCCGTAATGACTAACAGACCTGCAGTCTGCCTCTTTGGGGCCTCACACGCCAGTCCATGCCTACACATGCATATGCTCCACTTTAATGGCAGCCTTCAGACTTTATTTGAAGTGAGCTGTGGTGTTCAGAAAAAAAGAAGAAAAAAAACTAAAACTGAACCAGGATTGTTCAAAAGGGAGTGCAAACATGACCCTGAGGATCTACAGTGCCCTCGGCCCCAATATTTGACCCTGATGAGTTCATTATATAAAGTGGCCATTTAAATCTATTCAAACTGTGGATAATTGCAGTTTGACTGCTTTGTGGTGGTTCTTTTTCAAGCATTTACAGAGCTGGGCTTGCCCAACATCTGGCTGGGATATTACATGCGACATGAGCTGCAGACATAATTCTAAAAAAGTATATTGTGTAACTTGGCCAAAGAATCGAAAACTTGATTTGAAGGTCTGTGCCGCTTCTAGCAAATTGATTGTCTTCTCCTGTGTAGCAGAACTTGCACGTTGTACATTTAAACTATCTCTACCTGAGCCGACAGGGACTTAACAAACATTATGAAAGCGTGAAAGTGCCCTGTGTCAACCTAGTCTATCAGAGAGTAAAGGGCACATTGTAACACAAGGTGCAGAGTCTGTTCTACAAGTGCCAGGACATGAACCAAAAACAAAAAGGCACAAAGTTAATGCCTTGGGACGGATTGGCAGGGTGGGGTTGTTTGGTGACCCTTGACCTTTTTAACCCTGAGGAATGTTGTCGTGCTGGTGCGTGTATTGTTCCAGCCTCCCTAAGGAGCCCCAGCAGTGTATCGGATGAATGTGGGCGCTGAGGGCTTCTTGTTTCCACACTCCCCCCCCCAAAAAAACCTCCTTTTTCGTCCCCTGATCCGTTCTCTTCTGCTCTTTATCCTCAGTCTTCAACAAACAAAAAGGTATCAACAGGTCTAAGAGTTGGCTGTTGTTGTCGGTCTAAAGTGCACATGTATGCAGAGAGGCCACTAACACGGGTGCCAGGCTGACTCTCCTCACTCACCTAAATGATGCAGTAACAACTTCTTTGCCCCTTCGCTCACCACTTTTTATTGGTCCACCGTCCAGATCTAAGAGTATCTGAGTATCTTCAGACAGTCAGAGAGTCTGGCTCTAGAGGAAGTCACCGGTAGTAGATGGCGACTGACAGATGAGAGGGCCAGACAGACAATTACTGGCCAGGTATGTCCTTTATATCCACCTAGGGCTGGTCAAGGAAATGGAGGAATTTATGATGTCATAAAAAAGAGCCAGAAGAGAAGTGGCTGAGAACAGGTTGTCTCTAGAGCCGGAGCCATAAAAGACTCCTGCAGCTTCTTCTCCCACCCCCTGACTACCTTCTGAGATGATAACACTAGACCGAGCGCCAGTGGGTTTGAGCAGCCAGAGATGTTTTTGTATAATTCAACTGATCCGTAACAATGTGGCAAAATATTGTTATCGACCGCGAGACAAAATGTGACATGGAATAATAAATCCTTGATAAAACTAGAGATGGAAAGTAACAACATAATTTCACTCAAGTACCGTGCATGAATACACTCGCACTTTCATTTTAATATTTTCATCCTGTGGTACTTTATACATGACCGTGACAACATAAACTATCCACTAGTGAATGAATAAAGCAATAAATGCTAAATTGTGATATTGCCACTATTGCATAAGTAAAACATTTGTATACCATTATAATCAATAATTTAAATTCAAAAATGTCATTTAAATCATTAAAAGCTTTCTTTTGTGCTACTTTCCTTAAGGTGCAACTCTTTAAACCAAAACCAGAACAAACCGTAATACCGGAAACATCTTCAACAAGAGAAGCACCATCTGTCGCCCCAAACTAAACAGGTGGAAGTAAGAGAAAGCCTAAAATGGAGACATAAAGGATTCCCGTTCCTCTTTGCGCGCACATCTATATGTTCACACACAGCACTCTTCTTACTGCAAAAAAAGATAGACACACTCTCAGTGCCTGTTTAAAAACAAGGAAGAGAGAAGGTGGTTATTTGCTCTACAACCTCACTAAGGAGGTTTCCCATTGTATAAAGGAGTGGCTGCACAGCCCCGTTTCCTTTCATCCCTCTCCTTGAGGCACGCAGCCTTTGTCTCACAGAGGGCAGAACAACCAGCCTCCCGACCACGCTACACCGGACAAATACCTGGAAACTACCACTGGCCTGGTGGGACAACAACAAGAGGAGGAGAGACAGAGGGGGGGTGTACGGCAAATATGACCAACTAAAAAAAAAGGTCCTGTTAAATAAAACCTGTTATTAAATCTCAAAAGGAACGAGGACGAAGTTGAAATATGAACACCCGGTACCAAACTACACTTTAAAAATGATTTTAGACTTGTTGAAACTGAAGAAAAAAACATTTTAGAAGCTTATGACCACCTGTTTTTACTTTCATCCTTATTAAAAAGGTAGCGACTGTGTGTATGCAATTAAGGGCCGAGGTTGAAGGAAGACAGGTCTGTTTTTTTGTTTTTTTTCTCCTTCCAATCTGCACTTTTATGCCGGCTCAGCAGAATGAAAGCAGTTCCTGTATACGAGGAACTGTATAGGGGTGAAGAGAGTTTAAGTCCTCCCCAAAACCCCGACCGCAGCCGGCTGACTGTAAAGCCTTAAGTTCCAGTCCACACGGACCGCCTCAGCAACCAGACCTCACTGTCACACCTCATAAAGCAGAGCTCAAGCAGCGGGGTTGTGTTTAAAGCCAGGGGGAAAGATAAGGCAAAATAAGGAGGAAAATAAGAATGCACCCATTCAAGAAACTGTAGAGAAAAGAGTGAAAAGCCCGTGACAAAAGCGCTTTAGCTGAAACTCTGATGGCATGTCTCCAGTGCGCCAAATAAGAAAATATACTTAGTGGACAAATTGCAGCAGGAAACACAAGAAAGTAAAAAAGCCATTGAGGGATTTTTAAGACCATAATCCTCTCTTCTTATTTCTACTTTTTGCTTCGCTGTCGAGAGGGAAGCGAGCACCCACAAGTTTATTTTCAAATAGTTCACAAAGAATGCCTGTCATTTCCTGGCGTTCCCCACTTCCATATGAAAGCCCCCCGTTCCTTCAGGAACAATGGGAAAGATTCCAAAATTTCCATGGGGAGTTTCTTGCGCGGCGATAAAATAGAGAGCATGTTGTGACAGACTTGAGGCAGGCTGTTTCTCTCCAGCCGTGACAAGATCGGGACTAATGCAATGTTTTTGTCTTACATGTCGCGTATGATTAAAGCAAGCCACGCAACAGCTGTGACTTCGGATAAATGAGCTGAGAGTGAAGTCTAATGGCGGACCTGAATCGGTCCTTGACAACTCACCAGGATATCTGTTATTTATCATATGAAACATTTAGGTATGCGCCTCTAGGTAAAAGGAGCTCATGAAGCATCAAACTGTTTGGACAAGTGTCAGACTTTATTAAGCATAGAGGAGTGTTTAAAATCTAACATGTTTCCCTTACCTATTATTGTGTTTTCTTATCCAAAACCTTCCCTCGAACATCAATACACACACACACACACACACAAAGTACACGAAGTCTCACACAAGCCGTAAGAGTTTCTTAATTAACCAAAAAAAAAAAAGCTAAAATATCACGTGCTCATGAACGTGCCAATATGCTCTTGAAAGCCACCTTGACCCGAGCCTTTGGCTAGACAAGAGGTCAGAGGTCATCCACTCAACTAGATAGGCAGAATGCTGAGATGCCCGAGGCTACATGACGGAGTGCGGAGGTCTCCACCACCTAACCTTTCCATTTACCCAACAATGCACCCTCACACCCAAGAGAAGCACAAACACACACATGTGGACACACAAGTTCATGCTGTTATGAACTCATTCACCACCCCTGGACTTCATTTACCTGTAATGCATAAACACAAAGTGTATGTGGTAAACAGCTGCTCTCAGATCTTCTGCTTTGGATCCACAGATGTACAATCAAGTCTGAGCTGGAACAAGTAAAAAAAAAAAATTAAAAAAAAACAATTCTGCGCTTTTTATGTCTTCCAGATGCCTCAGAAATAAGAAATTAAAAAGTTTGCAGATTGTATTTTAATGATTGAAAAAAAGGGGGTGGGGGGAGGGGGGGGGGAGCATTTTTTTCCTCATTATTTGTGTGTTGAATGTTTTATGGCAGCGGGGGAACAAAACTGGGTGTCTGCTGGGAGTCATGTGATGGTTGAAGAAGCGAGATGGGACTCCCTGTTGTTAACGACACGACGTCTTCGCCGACTGACAAAAACAACAGGAACATTATTTTACTCATTTGAATTGCTCGATCAATGTTGTCCAGAAGGAGCCGGGGAGTAATGGAGGAACAGGGGTCTGTGGTCGAGAGTCGCTCCACTCTGCAGGTTGATTCTCGACATAATTGCAGGATGCAGCTGATGAAGCTGATCACACGTGATGATGCTCCATTCACGCAACGCGCACCGACAACTCTCTGAGAGCAACTTCAAACTGAATTAAAGCCCCACATGAGAGATACGCACTCGGACACTCGCTGCTCTTTGCTGGGAGGGAGCAAAGGGACAAAGTGAATTATGTGTAATTCAGCCCTGAGAGGGACGGAAGTGAGGCTATCACAGCACATCAGCACCTATAGCACTGTTCAGCCATTGTGCATTGTGCATTTCTCCATTGACATGACAGATCCCCCCCCTTGTACAAGAAATTTAAGTACCAGCAGTTAAATGTCAGTATTCGGTAAATATTGTTTTTTCAAGAAAAAGCCATGCATTTTTCATTAAAGCACGCTGTGTACAATACATAGCCAGTAAAATGTAGTGCTGCACTAAGCGTCTAGACCTACTGTATCCAAACGGCAGAAGAATTTATGGAGACTGCCTCATTAACCTGAAGGCATATTAGTGCTTGGCACAGCATGCTGAGAGACTGAGCACGGCAGCTTCTAAAGCCTCCTGAAAGAAAGATGGTCTCAGCTGCTTTAAATTACCTGCAGAGTCAAACAGCCCAGTGGCCAATTAGACCCAAAAGTGTGGAACGCTCGTGATGAGGTGTGTTTATCTGGTCAGTGCATCCACTCAACTGTGCCCATCCTGAAAATGGCAGTCTGGCTGTTTTTTTTGCCATGTGCTGGAGGCCCAAATTCCGGGAGGGAAGTCAGATGCGCACACAATGTTTCCGAGAATTCAGGATGCGCAAAGCCACGCTTGCGGTCTACTTGCACTATTCCAACGTATCTCCGCGTTTGGCACACAAAACAGTCGTGCACGCATTATGTTGCACCGCGCCTTTTGCACGAAAACATGACACATTTTCAGTGCGTATTTCTTTTTTCTGGCTACGTTACGCACCGATCACATCATGAGTCACGGGCTGAGGCGAGAGACGGGGTGGCGGCTGGGAATGAGCGGTGTCTGCTTTCTGCTCTTCAGGTGTCTCGCTCGGATTGTTTTGGGGGCCAGGAGGGCTACCGTAACGTCGACACAATGACAGATGGTCCACACAAAAGCCGGCGCGCATTGTTCAGCTGAAAAATAATAGCCACCATCTATCAGTGTTCGCCGACTTGCAGGCCCAATAGGAACAGCAGATCTGTCTGGTGAGTGAAATGAATCAAAGTTATATTGTTTGGGAGGCTCCCACCGGGATTCCTTTGGGCTGCACCGGCTGTTTAAACATATCGGTCAAACTTTCCAAGCAGCGGAAACAGCGTTTGGGATCTGTACATCGTGTACCATCGATGCGTCTTGAGGAGCGTTACAAAAGTTCAAGTGTGCAGGGAAAAAAAAGGGGGGCTGCACAGACCAATCGGAAATCACGGGGTTTTTTTCTCTCGAGTCACACGGATGCGTTATGAAAATGAGCGATGAAAGACACGTTTTTCTGTCCGCTGGCATGTTTCACTTGCGCTCGTTTTTGGAGACGTGAAGCCGCTTCATTAGTAGCCCACGGAGCGCCAAACCCCAGACCCGTCACATGTTATCACGCTTTCACATTCCTTCAGCAGACTACACATCATTTCTTCTGACAATTTATTTTTCTTTTTTTAGGACGCATAATTTCTCACAATTACGGCATATATATATATATATATATCCGCACTCTGCTGGATTTAACAAAAACAACGCGTCTCTATGTTTAGGTTATAGTTGATGCATTTTACATGACGGCATACTCACAACATTTCCCTTCACCCGCTGCTTGTAAAACAACAGGATGCACGGTCCCGTCGAGCTGGACTGATGAGGATTTCTTCAAGTGTGCCACAGTGGGTATTTTCACTCTCATCACTTCCGTCCGAGACCAACTCTCCACCGACTGAGCGCCTGCTCCTCTGATCCACAGATTACGTCTGTTTGAGAGGCAGGAGGGAGGGCATCCGGTTTACAGGGATCACCGGGAGGACCGGGATTGGCCCAGAGGAGATAGCTTGATAAAATGCGCGCCTGCCATTGGACGGAGGGGCACGCGTGGGGTGGGGGTATGGGGGATGGGGGGGCGCTGTCGTGTATTATTCAGGAGAAACCGGGTGGGGAGTGGAAGAGGAGGATTCTCGGGGCAAAAGCGGCATATGCAGACAATGCCCTGTCTCAGAAATGTCAGATTTCATTGGTGGACTTATCCACCACCGTTTATGGCTTCTAATAATCTCCTCGTGGACTAACAGGCAAACTGGAGCACTTATTTTAACCCGAGAGTGTTTGTGGTAGCTATATTCATGTTTTTAATGACCTCAGATTTCTTAATATCGGCTCTGGGATCACTGTTAGAAACCCATAATGGCAATTTCACATAGCGGAAAAAATGATATATTACATAATAAGATTTACACCATTACAGCAGTGTACTTCTCTTTTTAGCTGTTCTTTCTACATTTGTCCTGTTTTAAGATTAGAATTAAATATGCTGGACTAACCAGACGGAAGGGAACAACTATAAATAAATCAAACAATTATTTTTTTGCAGCATCAAACCTCAAGAAAAAGGGTGGCTGTGTGCATGTGACTTTCTCACTGTGTGTGTGTGTGTGTGTGTGAGTGTGTTTCTGCTGTATGTAGGCTAGGAGACAGCTGGAACTGCAGAATTTTCCACACAGGAGTAGGGGAGGAAATGGTGCATGGATAATTCTCTCTTCAGATCCTCTGGTACTCGCTCCGAGAGTACTCAGCTGAATCAATACTGCTCAAAGCTTTCTCGTGTTCCCACTCTCACATCAGTGCTACTGGAGGGAGGCAGAGGGCCAGTCCATGTTAGGCGTTTTCTAGAGATGATTATTTGAATTTTTAAAAATGCCACCACTCCGTCTGGAGAAGGGATATTTACTGTACGATGCTAAATCACCCTTGACCCACAGGCCTCATGCGCGCACACACACACACACACACACACACACACACACACACACACACAGATTCACATCCATAATACAGACTGTGGGTTATTAACCTGCATACTGAGCCAGTTTGTGAGCAGACAGAGAAATCCTAATAACCACAGCGGGGGCTCTTCTCTGACCGGTAGCCATGGTGATTGAACACATTTCTCCACACAGCAAGAAAGGCGGTGAGTCTGTGCTGCACCACGCAGGCCTTTATTAGGCCCAGACCCTTGGACTGGAAGGAAGGAAGCACCAAGTGGAGGATCACACCCATTTCATTGTGACTCTACAATTTTTTTACGACGGTCAAGAGGCTGTCTGCCGCAAATTACCTCTTTTCTGGAAGACGCTTCGCTCTTGTCTCCGTTAAACCGATAAAATAGCACGCTCAAATCTCAACAAAGCAGCACGTCATCTGATTATTGTGCTGATCTGAAGGCTAATTTGCATAACTGGTGGGAATGATGCTCTCAGACGTAAAGCACCTAGATTTATTCAGTATTCAGTCTAATTTCAAACATCCCAACGAGAATAACAGCTGTGGCTTAATTTCCTTTAAGTTTCTAATCTCTCTTTCCTCTTAATTGAGCTTCAGCTTCAATCACAGCTGTTTCACAAATCTAACTGGAGTTTATGCTTCTGACCGCCATTATGTGAAACCCTTATAATTCCACATTCTGCTAAATTCATACTTGATTTTTAGCTGAAGGGTCATATGGTTCTCCACGGGTTTAAGATTTTGGCACCACTTTCTGATAGGGAGCCTTATAACAGATCTATAAATTGTAGTTTTATTTCAGTTATAAGCAAAGTAAAGTAACCACAATCATTTATTAATTAATAACATTTGTAACTGCATTATTACCAAGAAGAAAGGACAAACACTAGTCAAAGGGAATTTTCACAACCTGTCAATACAAAAGTTGTTTATATTGCAGCTTATAACTGGTCTATAAAGGATTAGTAAAAAATGCTATCAACCAAAACAATACTGTTGAATGAGTAATAACATAGAAATGAAACATCGCATTCATTCCTCACCCTTCCCTAATGTTATTTATTGTCAACTAACTTTATGTCGTGTTGTGATATTACTGAGCCAGCCTGCTGACTTCATGACTCCTCTCTACTTGTGCTAGAAACACTATGTTTAGGCATGTTGCAGATCAAGATTTCAAGAGTTTTACCTCAAAATTCATACATGAAGTAAATGAAGTGTACCGCACCATGTTGGAGTTTTCCCGCTTTTGTTCCCATTTCGCTTGCTTTCAGGCATTTCGATATCTTTCGAGCAACAAAGTCCCTTTCACACAGTCACACACACTGCAAGCCTGAACTTAACTAGACAGATGTTGGACCGGACATTAAACGGACTGCCAGCTCCTTACTACAAAGTCTATGTAATGTCTGATCGAGCCCATGTGTGAACTCATTGTCTGGAGAACTCACAGCAAGTGAGTGGGCGTGTTAAAGGCGTTTGCATGCGACTGGCGCAAAACCAGAAGAACATCCAAGGGTGAAGAAGAGGGGTCATTTACACAAAGACAGCAATGAAAGTGTCTAACTAGAGAGACTACAAGATTCAGGGACTTCTGTTTGTTAGGGCCAGCATTTAGTCGTCAAATCCAAGAAACGGCCATAGGTCGGTTGTTTAAGAACAAATAACGAACCGGCTATGTGACCTCTGTGTTTCTTGCGTAATGTCCGGCCTCCTGCACGCTCTAACCAGGTGCCGCAAAACGTAGTATTTCCAGTAGCTGGGGACGCATTGGTCGTAGGTCAAGAGTTGGCTACCATCATGTAATTGCCACTTGTGGCCAAATCTTCTCTAAATAAATCTAATAAACTGCTTAGCATAAGGCCCATGTGCAGCTATGCCTTTGTATGATGTGCATATTTACTCTTCTGTCATATGTGTGTGTGTGATCCAGAGACAAGTCGACGCTGGACTCAACACTAATGGAAAGTGTCCGATATGCTACTGCTGGTCACTATGACCACATATTAAGCTGGGGCTTAAAACCATGGCTGTTCCACACTGTGCGTAGTAAGAGGGACATCTCCAACTGCTTCAGTAATGAGCTGTCTAACATGCTGTCATCCTCTACAGATGGAGCACATACTGTACAGTAGGCCACATTGACACGACTCCAGAGATGTTATGGTAAATATGAAGCTAAAACCAGTTAGCTTAGCAGGTGCTAAGTTTTTTGCTACATTAGGACAGAGCTGTTTCCAGCTTTTATGCTACGCTAAGCTAACCAGCTGCTGGCTGTAGCTTCACATTATCAATCTTCACAAACACAGTTTCAAAAATGTCAAACCAATCCCTCAAAGTTTCAGTAGTTAAACCGTACACGTGAGTTACATTTATCTACAAGCTAAGCGCACATGCCCACCATACAGGGCTATATAGTGCTATGGGTAATTTGGGAATACAAATATCAACTCTTTTAGGGGGATATAAGCAATAGCAATCAACACCAATCGCTTTTTTTGCCTCCAAACGCAAGTAGCTATAAAAACTGGATCATCATTAGACACACACAGGTTTTGTTTACTTGATGGGTCAGAACATTTTCATATAGCCGTTGTCTGGTAACTGTTCTCATGCAGCTAATTGCGAAACCACGGCGTGAGCACCTTATCTCACATCATCAACAGTGTGGCACAGTCCCCGGCAACCCCCGGACCACCTCCACCAACCCCGCGTGCAACTCTGCCATCATGGATGCCTCCTGTCGGGTCTCATTCTTGCTCGACGCCAGGAGCAAATTCTCTGTCTCAATTAATCACTGAGTTTCTAATGGAATGCTTCCCTTCAGGATGAGGCCCATCACAGAGGGGGCTGCAGTCAGTGCTGTCGGTGAAGCTGCTCTGATTGCCTGAATACATTCCCAGCTTTGGAGTCACTGCAGATGTCTGCTAATTGTGGTGATTATGGGGAACGGAGGGGGGTAGGAATATGTAATGAATTTCCCATTGCTTTCATGCCTCACATCCTTTGGTTATGTGCATCTGCTATACAAGCGGAGCATCCGCAGGGTTTGGAGATGGACAAAAGTGACATGGGGGATTGGGCACAGGCTTTTGGACGGGCAGCTATTCTAACGGCAAGTGCTGCCAGATTGGGTCCATTTATTCTTTTAGTTCTGTTCATTTCTGATACAATGCTGGTTTTAATTCCTCTCCTCTTCTGCGCCATGCTCTTCCGAATTCTGTCACTTATTTTCTCCTCTGCTTTGCAAATCTATGAACGGGTGGACGACTTAAAAAACCTCATCAACCTTTCTCACTGGCCAAAACGATATACAATTTACAAAGTCAAAGTCAAATCAAGACAATTTAATCTATATAGCCCAGATTCACAGAAATACGAAACAAGAAAGCAAACAAATATGGGCTGATGAGTGAAAAATAAAATACTGCACACGGTACACACCAAAATGATGAAAGATCTGTCTCCTTGCCTTAATAAGCACACCATTTTTCCCACCGATGTTCTCCTATGGAGTAGGTCATCTCTTCTTCAAGATGTAGAAGCCAACATTTTGTAATGGCCTTTTTACTTAATGCCGGCAAGATCTTTAAGAGGTAGGTGTCATCTTTACTTACGTAATATTTTGTGTAAAAATGTCAATTTGGGTTTTTCGGCAGGTTCGGTCTGCTACTATGGAGCCAGGCTAGCTGTTTTCCCCTGTTTCCAGTCTTTATGCTAAGCTATGCTAACCAGCTGCAAGCTGTAGTCTTATATTTAACATGCAGATAGTGGTAACCATCTTATCAGCAAGAAAACAAATAAGCGTATTTCCAAACAATGTCAAATTATTAATTTCAAGGAAATTAGATTACAAATATATATTATGTAAATATTAAACATAATACCTTGGAGAATATCAGGCCGAATGTAAACTGGAGTGAAGACTATGGACCAGGAAAAATGTTGAGGCACGTCCAGGTGCCACTAAGCATTTATTCTAACTGTATCCTTGACAAAGCACTGCAGCCTCAGACTCCAAAGGCAGAAATAAACGATACGTTGAATTCGTTATAGTCAGAAGCTGTTATTGTGTTATTTTTACATTTTCTACAGGAGAAATAAAACTGTGGTTGTGGGTATTTAAAAGCCAAATGTAAATTGCTTGTGCAGCTTAACAACCTATTAGACTCAGAGGATTATACACGCAACCTGGATTTCTGCACATTCTTCTCTTTAGGGTTATCATGCCACTCTTGGACATGCTACTCTGGACGTTGAGCTGGAACAAATCATATTCATACATTTAGCATATTAATGAGGCTAAATATCAGACATTCTCTGTTGCAAATGCAAACATGCCAGATTTATTGTGGATGTTCTTTTGCAAGGCAAGAGTTGGCTAATTCCTCTGGGGCGAGTGCCCTTCCTGTCACACTGATCAAAGACTTTCTCTTGATATGAGCATAAACTGCTCCATGCCCCATCACCGTCAATGTCTGTGCATGCGTGTGCGCTTCTGTGTGTGTGTGTGTGTGTGTTTGTACGAGTGCATGTCTGTGTCTGTGTGTGTGTGAGGTGGGGGTGTCGTGTGTGTGCATATCCATCCCCCATCACCAGAGGCTGTATTATGCATTGTTGTTGGCATGGCCTACATGCTCACCCAAGCATGGTCCAGTGTGGTACAGTACACACGTCTTCCCATCCCCACCGCATTCCCCTGTCGTGTCCGCAGGCCCGCTTCATTTACCTTTGCTCCTGAATTAATGCTAGTTAACTGTCACATTAACTCAGATCTGTTGGCCCGCTTTGTCAACAACATAAACTAGCCTCAGTGTGTGATCGCAGGCATTATTTTTGGCTTTGATACACAGCACACGCATGGGCTGAGTTTGCCTCAATGTATGTGGGCCATACCTAAAGCTGCAACCATCCATAACGTAATCTGAACAAAGCGCGCTGTTGCGTGAGACTTTAAAGCTATATGCTGCTTTGTATTTTCTCAGCAAAACTGCAGAGAATGCGGGGAAAATGCGAAACTTCTCTGCCGAGTGTAGTCGTGGCTGTAGTGCAGGTGTTTCATTCAGTGGTTCAGTAGAGGCCAGACCGCGAGTGCACGTGGACACTCGATTGAATGAGTGCATGGCCTTGTATCTGTGTGTCTTCACATGTACATGTGTGTGGAGCGTATATTTGCCTGCCAGAAGCGAGTGTGTTAAATTCTCTAAGCATGTGTGACGAATCAAGTGGCTGGGAAAAGAGCAGCGTGCTTCATGGCCTCTCTCGGCCTCTCACAAACTGAATTCTAAAGAGGCTATCGATCTGTTAAGGTCTCAATTCAAATTTTGCTCTGCACCTATCTCCCTATCATATCTATATGGCTTTGTATCATCCTCTTTGCATCTTCCGCCGTGTCTGTCTTTGTATCTGCTTCTTTATTTAATAGATATCCCGCAGAATGTGGGAGAGAGATGCTGCAAGCCTGTGAGACAGATAAAAAAAGGAGAGAGCATCCCCCACTGATATATGTCTTTCATCCTAATCCGTAGCTCTCTGTCCAAGAAAGGGCCTCCTTTTCACTTGTGTGCCCTAAAGCCTCTTATACGTGACCCCTCTGTCTCTCCCTCAGGGCTCTCTCCCACGGCCAGAAACCACACACACAAACGCACAGACACCCACATCTGTGCATTCTAGTTCATGGTAATAAGCCACGTGAAGCTGCACGTGTTTGAGTTGAAACAACGTAATGTTTCAACTTCTAAAACAAGCTGAGGTCAGAATGCATTTGCGCCAAACACCATTACGGAAGCTGTCCAAAGTCACGATTTGCCGAACTGACAGAGAACTCTTACTATATGTTTTGCTTCGAGGTGAAGGCAAATTTACCGCCAGGCTGACTAACACAGCTGCTGGGATAGCGTGTTCCTTGTTAGAAGAACTGACCTCAATAAAGACGGACGTTTGGCAGTCCGTTATGTAACTAACTGAGGATGATCCTGAGGCTGTATGAATGTGTGTGTTGTTGGGGTTTTTTTCGCGAGTGCTTTCATGTTAGGGACCGTACGAAAGTTACTGGAGTGGGGAAGGATCTGTATCTTATGCTCCACTTTTTTGAAAAATAAGTATTATTTTGTACCCTTTCTTTAACTTCAAAAACTGCCACACCCTTCTGCCCAATACTTAAAAAAAACAATACAGAACCGCATTGTCAGTACAACTTCTTTAATTGTGTACCCCAATTAAAACTTCCAATTTATTTATACATCAGGCTATAATGCTTTTAACCCCACACCAGATTTCAGATATAAAGAATAAATGTCAGTTAGATCAGATGATGTTGTAATTTATGTATAAATTAAGTTGTATGTCTGATTGTCTGTCGTACATGGGTTCTGGCTCCAGGTTGGTAAAATCCCTGGTTAACGAATCCCTTATCAAATCTTTCCTCCACAATCTCTCTTCGATGGTCTCTTTTGTCTCTTTCTGACACCACAGGCATCTGCAAAAACACATGCATATGTTAACTCAACAAAGGGTTGTTAACAACACTGTCTGCCTGAATATGGCACACCGCTCTAACTTAAACGTGTGGACACACTTCGCCAAAGTCAACAAAACAACTGTTAAATGCAATATTTTCTGGAGGGCACGCACAACAACAGGGGGGCCGACTAAAATCTTGTGCTGAAATATTCATCTACAGTCCTCCAAGTAAGAGCGTGTTGCATTTTTGATAACCTGAGAATGACGTGGCAGTGTTACACCATATTCTGTGACCCATCTGATCCGGGGCAACGACCATTTCACGTTAACGTTAAGTGCATCGTGCATGCAGAAAGATCTGCGATATATCTAGTCAATATTTGGTGAATGGTAAAGTAGAATTAATATTATTTCCACTGCGTTCTTTTTGTATTTGCTTCTATGTCTTCTGCAGATGTAGCACAGCCCCCCAGCGAGGAAGAACCGCTGTTTTCCCTTGCAGCAAAAGGAAACATGAGTCAGGAGGGTTTGTGAATGTCACATAGCAGTGACAAAATAAGTGGGGAAAGCTGCTCACCCTTTCAGTGCGGGAGAATCTCTGTGGTTTAGGTATGATACTGAGGGAAATAAAAAAACGCAGATGTATTCATATCCCACCAAACAAACAGTCCCAAACCCCAATAACTATACACCCCTTGTTATAGTTATATAAAAATGCCATTACTACCGTCCTTTCAGTCAAACCCTTTTCAGACCTCCCCCACCCACTTGTCCTCTAATGATTTCCACACAGTCCCTTAGTTGGGGTTATGTTTAAAAAAAGAAAGCTACGGTCTTGGTGGTATATAGCTCAACTGAATGGTGATGTTTTATCCTGTATATGCACTACATACATACCAATGTGATAATACACATAGAAACCACACTTCCTATAGAGTTACTGTAATCCCTCAGAAGTGGTCATACAGTAAACATTTCACACTGCACTCAGCGGTAAGAACAGAGAGGCTCTCTGTCTGCACTGTAGTGAGGGATTTGATGCTGGCTTGCACTCTGCGTGGCGTGACCCCACCCCTGGTAAATACAGGGTTGGAGGTTTCCTCTGTGGATAAAAATACACTTGCCTCTCTGCAGAGAGGGGGGAAGAAAAGCCAGAATTCCTCCCTCTTCTGCGCCCATTGTGCACGAGGAGCCAGAGTAACTTCCGCATTCATCACAAGTGTTGAATGGCGATGTTGAAAGCGATCCGATTATACAGAGGTGAGTGAGTGTCACGAAGTGCATGTTATAGAAGTGAGCAGCAATTCTGGTGAATGCTTACATTGTGTAAAGCATCTGTTAAGGATGATGCAACTCAATTGGTAATTTGCAGAACTATCTGTGCGGTCCAATTCCCATACTACCAAACAATCTTCTATGCCAGAAGAAGATTTAGTATGCCCCAATACATAGGATGTCACATTCAGTATGCCAAAAATACCGGGATGTCGTACTGCATCCGGTCACAATCTGCAGGACACATGCCAGCATGCTTTTGTGGCTATTCTGACCCACAATCCTCTGCAGAGCGGATATACGAGCAAGGGGGTCAAAGTTCAAGGTGTCAAGTTGCGACAAAGTTGCGAATACTACAAAGTAGTCGTACAAAGTAGTATTCTCAACTGAATACATACTGCATGCAACAGTACGTACTTTGTAAGGGCATCTGAAGTACGTAGTCAAAGTAAAAAGAAAAGGGGATTTGGAAGGCAGAGTATGTTTTTCCCTCTTCCTGCTTTTGTCTTTTGTCCTTCACGGGCTCCCTTACTTCACAATCTGTGACATCATCAGCCTGTTGTGAAAAAGTTTCAAGCTAGCAGAGGTCTTCGACAGCCACTGATAAACTTGATCCCAAAAGTTTGACAAGACTCACCAGAGGTGTTCTGTGGTCAACCTCAAATGTGCACTGCGAGCTTCCTGTTCAGAGAGAAGAGATTTCTACTGGTCCAACTGAACTGGAATACTTTGAGTGACTTCCTTGTTTGAGCTGGCAAACACACAAACTCAACTCATTGTTATGGCTCCTTGGACTCAGGTGACATGCAGGTGAGTTATATCATCCGGTTTATGATAGTTGTTTTAGTGTCTGTTTGATCTTGGTGGATCAAGTTTGTAATTTGGGCTACTTATACAAACAAATGTACTACCTTTATTCATTTTTTTGGATCTCTTTACAGAAAGAAGAAAGCCCATAAAAGTTCTGCACCTCTCTGCTCAACAACTCAAGTTTTTTGAAGAAATAAGGAAGAAAATGTCGGAAAATCAGGTGTGATCCTGTCCGCTTCTCTTACAGGCTGACGGTTGAGTAGCAGGTTAAACTGAAAAAATGAGTCACGGGGGACAAGAAGATCGGGGGACGGGACTGAAAGACGTCTTCGACATACTAGTCAAAGCACTTCCGCTGCAGCTGCTGAGCTTGACATTCCAGCTGGGCGAGTCTCCTGAAGAGAATATCGTACACGCCTTATGTCTGATTATTCTCCAGAAAGAGGCGCGTGCCCTGGACAAACTCCAGAGGCTGAAGAACAACCACCTCGCTACCCAGCTAGTTGAAAAGTGGCAGATGAGTGAAGGCAAATTAGAGGATTTTGCCGTTCGTTGTGGACATTTTCAAGAGCTTGCCGGAGAATCTCTGGCCCTGTTGGCTCGTATTTTCAAGGTTTTGTCAGAACGGAGGCTGTGTGATCCATGTCTGAGAAACCTGGCGTACAAGAGAGCCCTTTCCAGTGACGATCAAAAAGCAAGCAGTTGTGAGAAACTGGAGCACGGTCACCTCACAGAGGAAGCTAAAGTCGTCTGTGGGCCTCAGTTCGCAGAGTGGGTGTGCTCCTCGAACGATCTCAAGTCAGGGCCTTACCGTGATCCTCTCAGCAGCCTGGACGAAGGTAACGCAACGTTAAGAGTTACCCTGCCTCAGGATCAGTCAGAGAGAGCTCACAGTCTGCCCAGCCCACTGCAGGTGGCCTCTTCGATGCCGTCGTACCCTACTCATCTAGAGATAAGTATAGCTCCGACAGCCTCGTTTCAAGACGACAGAGTAGCTCCAGAAACATCCGCTGAATCCAAACTAAAAACCGAACCCGCCCTCGTTGTCAGCGAATGTGAAGCAAAAAATGCACTTAGCCAATCCCTCGCATCTCAGCCTCGGCCCAGTCAACCTCCTCTGTCTGGTGCAAAGCAACACTCAAAGATGGATGAAGCATTAGCTGCAGAGGGCAGTAAGTCGTACAGTCTTATCGCTCAGAATAAGACTCTAAACCAAACCACCAGACCGAACTTTGCACTACCTACTGCGACAAACATTGTTCGACCCAAGATGCCCGCTCCATATGAAATGCAAGACAGTAAAGATGTCGAAGAGGAGGAAGAGGCGATATTTTATTCATTTGTTATCTTGCATGCACCGGAGGATGACGATGTGGCCGAGAGCATGAGGGAAAGAGTGAAAGAGGTCATTGGTAGTGATGGTGCAACTTTTTCTGGGGACTTTGCCATCCCTGGAAAGAGCACCCTGAGGTGTGTAGAGGATGCTATCGACAACTCGGCCTTCACTCTCCTGCTGTTCACCCGCAACTTCAACACTCGCATGCTGGAGGTGGAGACGGACTCGGCCCTCATCAACTCCATAAACAAGAGACACAAGTACAACACAGTTATCCCTCTTCTGCCACGGGAGAACTGCATGCACAGAGATAGCCTCCCTTTGGTTTTGCAAACAATAAATCCACTTGAGGAGAACAGGAGCTTCGATAGGAAAATAAAAAAGTTATTCTGTCGAGCGACGATTGAAAAGCAGAGGAAAATCTGGAACGCAGATCAGTTGGTGAAGAGGGAGATAGAGCGACAGCAGAGACTGAAGAATTTAAACCAGTCCCAACAGCAGCTGATCAAAGAGTGTGCAACAGCACATTTGCTAGAAGAAGAGATGATTTCATTGGCTAGAAAACTTCATCTCGGCCCCTTTGTGCCACCTGAACAAGACAACAGTGAGGGCAGGGTTCACCGGCAACAACAACAGAATATTCACATTGAAAATGCTAATTACATAATAATTGGTAACGAGTCTCACATGACTGTGGGTGGAGGTGCAGACAAAGATGATTCAGTGGAGGAGCAATAACCTTAAAGATGGGGGGAAAAATACTGTGGAGTCAAATTATTTGTAGACAAATGAGAGGAATAGTCATGTTTATTGTCTGAACAGTAAAATGTCAGAGCTGTAACTACCGCGGAGTATTGACACACGCAGATTGTTTCATTGTATTTAAACCTGTTGGTGAAAGGAAATTCAATAAAATGTTCAAAAGATCAGTTCAGTGGCGTTTTAATGAAAGAGGACGCTGTAAAGAGTCTATTGAGCAGAACAATGCTTCTGATTTTCAACAGACGACTGCCATCTACTGACCAATATGTGACGTCTACTTCCTGATCTCTTCTGCTGTATGAGCCCACTGTGGACACTAGGGAGCGATGTTGTTACACACTCCTCACTGTGCCTCATCGGCCTTCACAGGACCTACAAAGCCAGCGCCACCCAACAACACTGCTGGTCTGGTATCTGAGAGCTAAAAGAGATCAAATAAAATCTTGATTTTGCACATCATTATTTCAAGTGTTCGTGTGTGAGTGTGTGTGTGTGTGTACTCAAATCATTATGTTGAGAGATTTTACTGATTGGCTAATGTTCAGGTGAAAGAGGACCTACCCAGAACCCGCATCCTGAGATTCTCAGGTTTTAAATAGTTCAGACTGAAAACGATTAACACTTAATTTGACTTTTTTGTTCATCTTTTCTTCTTGTACCTCCAAGTATTTTGTTCGTTTCTGCAAATATTTGTGCTGAGGTAGTTTGTTCCCCGTGTTGTGTTTTCTGATGCACTTTGTAACCTTGTTGTTGAAGGTGCGTTATAACTACATTTGTATTCTAATTCTGACTGCACTTTCTACACTGTACTAAGATAAAATGTACTTGGTTCTAAAAAAAAGACGAGTAACCAGCTAACATCATTTTAGGGATTAAGTGTATTTCAATGTTCTTAATCGTTTAGGTGAAGCCAGGATTGACTGTCACAAAAAACAAGGTGACACCCACAGGAGCATCCTATCGCTCAGACTTCAGACGGGCTAGTATCCTAGTGTGTGTGTGTGTGTGTGTGTGTGTGTGTGTGAGAGACTCAATTCAGCCTAAACTCAGTCATTGCAGGACTATTTCAGCATGTGCACATTCCCCTGTGCTGCCATGCCTTTATCATTTTGTCTCCAGCCCAAAAGAGTCTCACACCACTGATGACTTCTTCAAATAAGAACATGATCTGACCTGCTGCATGTGTTACCCATACCAAGACTCTAAATATTGTAAAAATGTAAAGAGCACTGTAACGAATGTAATGAAGAAAACACTACACAATTTGTGTAGTTCATGAAACATTGACAATTTGGAGACACAAGAGTTAAAAGTAGTGAAGTGTGTGGATGGTGAAAATGTCTAAAAGTCTTAGAAATACTCAGGCTACCAGAATAGTGCTTTGTGCTTAAAATCAACATTTCTTTCCCTTTCTTGACATATTTTAACTGAATTATTGTACAATAATAAGTAATAATGATCAGTGCCTACCTTAGGGTCACACTTCTTATCAGAATATCATAAATAGACAATCATTTTCAATGTTAAATGACTAAGTAGGTTGTTTCAGACTCTTCTGACTTTTATTTTTTTGCTGGTTTCCTCTTTCACGGAATCTTTGAATTTGTCTAGTCTGCTTCTATATAATCTAATTAATCATACCTTCAGAAGTGGAGAAGTACACGATCATTTTTTCTATCCGTCCAATTTTTTTTGTGAAACAAAATAGAATAAAATACGTTTCTTCACGACTCTTCTTCATAAATATACAGCTATTATGATTGTCTGTACATCTGCCAATATAGTTCCAGGTTTATAGACCTACACATATCATTTCTGTCTTTCCTCACTTCTCCTTTGAAAGATAATTAGGGATTCAGTCCGAATCCATTGAGCCAGTGAACTTGGTCTGTGCTACTTTATGATGACTCCTGTCAGGACTGAATAGACTCGGGTGGGTGGATCGCGCGTGCGCAGTGCGCTCTATCCTCCTATCGGTGCCGCAGGAAAAGCGCAGAGAAGACGCTGCGGAGGAGATAGAGGGAGAGAGGAAAACAGTTAGAAAAGAGACGAACAACATGTACACCAACGGACTATTCGGTTAATGCGTGATACGGGCCCCCGGGTGGCGTCGGACGGCAGCTCTCCTCCTCTGCCGCACAGCTGCGCCGTTATGTCGGACAACCCGAGGAGAATAATGTCAGGGAAGGGAGGAGATCTTCAGAAATCCTGTCGCTGAACTGCGCTGTGCTGTCAGGGTTTAAGGATACCACTGGAACATTAAAAAAATAACGGATGAAGGTGCTCGTGTAAGCGAGGAGCGCCCTGTGTTATCCAACATCGTCGTGCTCTCCAACAACCAGGCCACGCGCAAAGTTTTTTTTTTTTTTTTTTCCCACATTTTTTTGTCAGGAGAAGGGGAAATTTCTCTGCATTGAATTCCTTTGGACGGGATGTCATCCGCAGCCAGGAGGAGTTCCTCTGGCTGACTGATCGTCCGGCTGCTGTGTAGTAACGAGAGAGAGAGAGAGAGAGAGAGAGAGAGAGAGAGAGAGAGAGAGAGAGAGAGAGAAGATGGGAGATGCGGCAGACGACAGCGGGATGAGACGGACCTTCATCGTCCCTGCCATCAAGAGCTTCGACCACTACGACTTCACCAGGGCCAAGATCTCGTGCAGCCTGACGTGGCTGGTGGCCAAGGCTTTCGGCTCGGGTAGGTCATCAAACATTGTTAAGATAATCCTCCAACACGTGTACAGGGACCGTAGACAGATGTCGTGTTGGACCAAAGGGAACTATTTTGTCAACAGCAGCCTTTAATGAGACTGAAATGTCTAGTCTATAAAATAGCAGCAATTGAATACGAATTGGTCTCCAAAACCAGAATAATAGTCCTATTTATCCTTTAAGTGAGTGACATCAAAATAAATAGTATTTAAGGTTAATGGGTGCATTTCTGTATTAATTTTGTAACAGTCTCTACCTGGAGTTCATGAGTCAATGAGCTGCATCACTGCTCATCATGTCACAGTGTCATTGATCCAACCTGTTGCTTGCCTGATGGTAATTCTTCCCCACTGCAGAAGTGAGGCTCAGCCTGTTATGCAACACTCTGGCTACAGATCTGTACCGCCAGCCTTCACTGTTGATCAACAGATGCGTGGACTCCACGTCTGTGTTGTAACTTGAGCAATGTCAGAAAAACTCAATGCATTTGGATTCAATCAATGCGTTCGCAAACACAACACGATGCGCGTAAACATTCACTCACACCCACAAAAACAATCTGAAAAAGTGCAAATGCATTTGTGATTCTATCCAGACAGTAAACACGTCGGTCTCTTGTACTCTGGTTGTTTATAAGTCTAATTATAAAACCAAACTCCCTTCGACTGGTTTACATGCAACCAAACCAAATGTTCTAAAATATCTGACCAAAATGTTAGTTAATGCTCATCCCACTTTGCCCAACGGGATGTCTTGAAATTGCTTGTTTTGTCCAACCAACAGTCCAAAACCTAAAGATATTTAGTTTACTATCACATTCGTCGGGGGAAAGCAGCAAAGTAGCCGTAAACAGGGAGTGTTTGACACATTTGGTTGAAAAATGACTGAAACATTTATCTTTTGCTCTATAAAATGCAGAATACAGAGAATAATGCCCGTCACACTTTCCCAAAGAGACGTCTTGAAATGTCTTGTTTTGTCCGACCAGAAGTCCAAAAACCAATAGATATTCAGTTATCATATAAAACCAAGAAAAAATGCAAAATCTTCTCAATGGCGAAGCTGGACTGGAGAAGTTGCCAGTTAAGTTTCTGTTGATGAGGTAATTGAATAATTGACTAATTCATTATTTTCTAAGCACAGTATCATAGCTTCACATAACAGCTTACAGTGTTGTGCTCGTCTTCACAGTAATGGCGGTGATGTTTTCACGCGTGTCAGTAATTACTCCTCATACATGACTACATGTATCCGAGCTCTGGCCCGTCTGCTGTTCCTCACTGTGGTCTGGTGGCCTCCCCTTTAAAAACACAGAGTACTTCCAGGTTGCCCGAGGTTTACTCCAGCTCCTAACGAACGCCTCCATGTACAGCACTCGGCGCCTCAGAGTGGTCCGCCGCCGCACAGACAGACAAACCTAGAAAGAGACGGATCAAAAGAGAGACCTCTAAATCACACCTCATTGATCCAACAGTGGGCTCCAAATAGCTGCATGTGAGTCACTCTCAGAGAGCATGGCATGTTGGGGAGAGACACACAAGGTGACATCAGCAGGTCTTGGTTCAACACGACCTGCCGCCTTGTTTTTTTCCGTTCCCTCTAGTGACACACTTTCAGCTCCCGGCACCGCCGACAAACTGTGGCCCACTTCACAAGCAGGCCTCAGAGCCTCGTGTGGCCTAGTTTGGACGGATGGTTTGAATCTGGTGGCGCTCAGATGTAAAACAAACTTTCTTATCAGCTTAAAGTTTGGACTGAAGGTTCAGAGAGGTGGATTTGTGTAAGCACGGATGTGCTGATCATGCAGTAGGAAGCAAGGGAGTCAAATATGCATATGGCACTTTTCAAAACAAAGTGATTGACAGTAAGAAGAAGAAGAAGGGAAGAGACAGAGAGGACCATTTATAAAAACAAGCACAATGCAGTGTACGAACCCCAAAGTTAAAACTCAAAAGAAAGACAAAGACAACAAATGGCTTTTAAGATGCTTTGTACAGATGTGCACTGATAGTACTGAGACACAACACATGTGTGCATGTGGAGGTTTGTGTGTATTAACTGTCAGAGCACAGTTTTACAGTCTCCACACTGATGTGTCTCCATGTTGGCCTCAACAAGGGTTTTAACAGCAGGGCCTAAGAGCTAGTCTTCAAGGGTTGTTAAAGAACCCCACCAGACATGTTTTAAGACCCATAAAACTATCTGCCTTTAATCTTTACTCGTGTCTTTAACCACAAAAAGATCAATTAACTTGCTCAACATTGTTAGAATCACATCTACTCCCTCTCTCTTATTATACAATCCACAATCTATGAACATGCAGGTCGAAAGTTTAATTGTGGGACACAAGATGCCTCCTTCACTGAATAGCCAGCTCTCAGCGTGTGTGTGCTGGCTTTGTGCTTCAGCAGATCTAGGTTTAAACTCTGCACATGCATCAGTCTTCACAGGGAAGCTCAAACATCCAAGTTAAGTAACACTAAGCACAACACACGTTTGAGTAAATCAACGTTACTGGTCAATATCTGGCATTTGTTTACCTCGACACTGGTTCAATGTAACTGCACTCAACAGCGACATGAGGTTGTAATTTGAATATTTATCCAAATCTGAAGGTGAGCGTTCACCAAAGGGTAATATATCACATTATCAGCCGCAGACACCACAGTGATTCTGACTGGACTCAGCTGTATCACTGAGATCTCAGCTGTGATGTAACCAGCGGTCACCAACACTGACCTTTTATTCAGCTCATTCAGATGAGCCCGCTGGCCGGAAATGCAATTCTTCAACTCCATCAGTACCTCTTACAATAAAGAACAACAAGCACGTAGAGCCAGGAGAATATTCTGTCCAGCTGTGGTGGAATGAATACCTCTAAAGCTGTGCGGGACTGATCGATGAGATCAGATGGTGACGTGAATGAAAACATGCATACTTTAAGGAACTTTAAGGCTCTGATCAGCAAACAGCTGTGCAGTGATTCTCATGACTTTTACTGTGTTTCATATGTTGCGCTGCTTCTAGTAATAATAGTCTAATCCCTGTAAAAAAAGAAATTAATCAGAAATCATTACCTGTTGGCGATCCCTAGCTGAATATGTTTTTAGTTTCAGTTAGCCAGCAGAGATAAACACTGCTGACCGTGACGTTGTTGCGTGCTGAGCTGTGATCTCGGGGGTCTCCAGGGGGGCAGTCTTCTCCGTGCCTGGACTTCCTGTGGCAGCTACTTCCTGTCTGTTTCCTCTTTGATGGCCAACACAAAGGAGAGGGTTTCTACTTGACGAGGCAGATTTTTATGAACTCTAGAAAAGCCTGCTCTCCGTGCTGTTGTAGCTTTATGAACATTCTGACAAAAGTAGCATCAATGTAATAGTTATGACTAGCTTGTTATAAAGTAGCTGTTGATGTGGGTTAACATCGGCCTGTTGCTTTAAATATCTCGGCCTGGGAGAGCTGCACTAACCACAGCCACTGGAGGACTGCAGATGTTTGATCACAAGTTTAATGGGTTTTGAGCTCTAAATGTTACATTTTATCATGTTGTTATGTTGAGCTCTTTTGTCTCGGCATTTTTGTTACCTCGAAGTGATCGACGAGCAGAAAGCTGTACCTTTGCGATAGATTCCTTTTATGTCTTTTGTTTCCTTCGGTGTGATTCAGAGGCAGACAGAGAGGAAATGACCCCACACACCAGGAACACACGCTCACACTGGAACATGCAGACACACACACACACACACACACACATTCCTTTACTTGCCTGACACACATGGGATATAGGTGCATAGATACAGTATGTTATTCAATGACAAACTGATGGCTAGTATTGTATAACTCTGAGTCACAACATGTGGTTTACATCAACACAGTTTGGTGAAGAAGGAAGGAAAGAGTGAGTGAGTCCTGGAAGTGTAGCTGTGTGTTCAGCTATTTTCCCTGAAATCAGATTTACTGTATGAGGTAACTCGATTAGAAGGTGCTCCATGCTTTGTAACATACACGTCCACCTACACACGCACATACTCACGACCCACACACCCACACACACTGTTGCTTTGTGCTCACAAGATGTCCTGTGTGGATCTTCAGTCAGATTAGCACCAACGAATATACACCCTTAAAATTGCCTCATTTCAGGCTTTTGTTTTTGTGAAAATATACTTTTCACTCATGATGTTTATGAGGTTTTGTGGTGTACACCATCCTCTGTGTGTGTGTGTGTGTGTGTGTGTGTGTGTGTGTGTGTGTGTGTGTGTGTGTGTGTGTGTGTGTGATTATACTGTTGCAGCTTTGAGCTGGTTATGGCTCTGAGCTACAATGTATGTAGCCATAGTAACAACAAAGACAGTAAAATATAGAAAACAATAGCGGCAAAGCTTTTATTATCGTCTCTGTCGACGGTAGTGTCTCAGGAGGACGGGAGAAGCATCATATTGATCAAAATGATATCTCACCCATGTGTCCTCTCTCTTTCTCTGTGTCTTTTCCAGACGCAGTACCAGAGGAGCTGGTGGAGCCTTTATACCGGGACCAGTACAACCAGGAGCACCTGAAGCCTCCGGTGGCCTGCCTGCTCCAGTCCGCGGAGCTCTACTGCCGGGCGGGAAGCCTGATCCTCCGCAGCGATGCTGTCAAACCGTTACTGGGACACAACGCTGTCATCCAGGCTCTGGCGCAGAAAGGCCTGTACGTCACGGACCAGGACCGACTGGTCACTGAGAGAGACCTGACCGGCATGCCTATACACATGGTGAGTGGAGATGCACCAGGACATCACTGAACACATCCTGGTATTTATGCTGCTTTCACAGTTGAGTCTGTAACTCGTGGTTCTTTCTGTATACATCCTTTTGATCACTGGCTTTAGATCTCCGTCTGTTCACTTGCAAATTCACACGTATGCTCACACACACACACACACACACGTGAGTGTATACGCATATAAACCAGGGCTACAACTAATAATCTCAATTTCATTAATTGTCTATAAAATGTCAGAAACTAGCTAAAGATGGCCATCAGGATGATCAGATGTAACTGTGTGCTTTGCTGTGTCTTCTCCCTCATGGGGAGTAAGTCAGTTATACGATAGTGTGTGTTTGAGTGCACGGCTCCATGTGTCCAACTGTTAGACCGTCCTCCAAGGTCTGTCCTGTTGAGAGCAAAACAACCGTTAATGACGGGTTTCCTATAGCAACCCATTACTCATTAGAGGTTCCAGGCCATCATGCCTTATGTATTCTAGTAGTATGCTGTCGATACTGTGTGGAGAACATAATAAGGCTGCAACGTACAATTATCTTCATCATTGACTGATCTTAATATGAAAATGCTTGATTAATGGAGATTAGACAGATTTGTCTATAGAATATGAGAAAATAGAGACAAAACCCAAAGACATTCAGTTTACGCTTACATTAAACAGAGACGAGCAGAAAGTCCTCTCACCAGAGAGGCTGGAAGAAACTCATTTGGGGAATCGTTGCCTGAGAAAATGATCATCGAGCCGTCGATAATTCCTTGTTGATGGATTAATGAATTGATGAGCTCATTGTTGAAGCTCTAGAACACAATTCTGCTGATTCGATTGTGTCGTTGATTGGTGGTGTTTTAGACTGTAGCAGCAGATCCAGACACACTGCTAGCACACGCATGGCTGGAGACCGGCACTTCTGCTGATGCCAAAAGGTGTCTGCATTGCAGTGCACCCTCTCTCTTCTCTCCTCCCTCCCTCTCCTGCTCTCCCACTCTCTCTCTGTCTGTCTGTCCTACTGTTTCTTTCCTCAACTCTTTGATTTCCTCTGTAGTAGAGGAACTGCCTGTGTGCGCTCCCTTTCTCCATCTCTTGTCACGCTCTTTTTTTTTAATCCTTTCCCTCCCGCTACCTCTGTCTCATCCTAACTCTTATCTGTGTGGGTTAAAATGAGACCGGGACTTTGTTATCTCCTAAATATTTAATCGAAGCTTAATCATAGTTCACCGAGTGCCCACAAATGTTTCTCGGTCTCGGGCTGTAGCCGGTGTTTTATTCGCCCTCTGCTTGTGCTTTCCCTTTTTACGGCTCCAGAGAATAATTCAAAGTCACAAGTCGAGGGCATTTCTATGTTTACGGCCGCTTGTGCTCCATCGCTCATTGATCGAGGATGTTGTGAAGGTGGGAATGATGGGCGGCGATTACATGCAGCGCGTAATGATCCCGTGATCTTTCTCCACTATAAAAGGGCATTTATACATCGATCTCTTTGTCTCGGTGATTCAGTGTGCATGCAGGTGATTTAGCGTGCAGTTTAAGTGACAGTGGTAAGTAGAAAAATAAAGGCTATTGACTCCCTGTGACTACTGCCCTTCGCTTGTGTAACAGGCATTAATCTGTCCATCCTTATTGTTGCTCTGTGCCCTTCGTACTTCATTAGACTGCCTCTGCAAAGTACAGGAACTGCCTGTGTGTGTGTGTGTATTTGCGGACTCAGCAGGATAATTTCAGTCAGGCTGAAGTCGAGGCTTTTCATTTTGGGTTATGGTATATCTGCGGAGAAAATGATGACCTCATGGTTTTCCAAATACTGTGCAACAGAAGAATAACTCATGTCAGGGAGGAGGAGGAGGAGCGTGGCAGTCTGTCAGAGGGCGAATGGATATAGAGAGAGAAGGAGGGAACAGGAGGAAGATGGAATTTAGGGGGCTACCATTTGGCTGCGATCCAGGAGGAAGCAGGAAAGCAGAGCAAGAGAAGAGAGGAAAGGTGGCTGTGGAAGTCTGCAAGAGGACGAATGGGAAGGGGGGAGAAAGGGGGAAGAGCTGTGGAAAGGAGGGAAGGAAAGATGGAGGAGGGAAGAGTAAGGTATTGCCTTTTTGGCGCGCGGGATGATGTGTGTGCCAGAGAACGAATGGAAAAGGCCCACTGTTAATATGGCCATCTGGAAAGAGGAGAGAGGAGGGGACAAAGAGGAGGCGACAGGAGAGGAGAAGAACAGAGTACATGGAGAGCAGGGAGGGTTGAGGAGAGGAAAGGAGGAAGACGTGATGTGCACCACTGCAGCACTGTGGAGGGTGGGGTCTCACAGTGAGTCAAAGCATGTCTGGTGCACAAATGAGAGCCCCCACACACACACACACACACACACAATACACACACACCTCCAAACAGACCTCCAGCAGTGTGCACAAGACCTGTGTGTCCTTGTCTCGCTTTACTTCCATGTTTCTCTGCGACTCCTCTCCTGACTCGCCGACGCCACCCTCTAAGTGTTAAAGCATTAAGATGAGAAAGTGACGGAGCTGTAGCGGTAATTACATTTTCCTGCAGAGGGGCGTGTACCCTTGACTAAAAGCCTCCTTCCGAATAGTGCTGAGGGATTTGGAGGATTTTATGGACGGGTGTGTGTGTGTGAGGGAGATAGCGACAGCGGTCATTATTTTTAGTGGCAGTTTGGACAAACGGTACACACTAACATCTCAACAGAGCCAGACATGGAGCTGTAAAGTTGTACAATAAAACCACTTTCTCAAAACGTACCTGCGTTGAACGGACCCTTGTGATGTTTGTGGAGAAAGAGGTTACTTTGATTATCTGTTTGCTCAGCTGTATTGTGCTTTCCTATAGATGCCTTTGATCAAGGGCGCGCACACACACACACACACACACACACTAACGCAGCCATACAACAGTAGTGATGAATACTGATGCTCCTGTTCGAGGGTGTGCATGTGTGAGCATTTGCAGCTCTTTACAGCTCTTTATGACCAGCATCTGCCATTTCCACAGCCTTATAAGGTGCGTCTGTCACCCTGAGTGGTTTAGACTTGCTTCTGTGCATACACACGCACACGCACACCCCAAAGGTCTTTGTGAAGGGATAATGGACAGCACATGGCTTTTAAATCCATGAGGTAGTGTCAACAGTATAGTGTTTTTTGTCTTTGGATAGTCTGTAGATATGTAAGCAGTGGCTCCATGTACTGCCTGTTCCTCTTCTCTGTCTCTCGTGCAAACACCCATATGTACATACACACACTCACATACATACACACACACATGCATGTTAGATCTGAATACAATGTTCTATTAAAGACAGTGACACAGTCAAACCTACACAACACGGTCTTACACACACACGTAGATGCAGCATCAACTTTTCAGTCCTCCGACCATTTAGATAATAATAATATAAGTAATAATAATGGTAGCAATAACACATTTTATATTGTATGAAAATGATTGGGACTGAATGTCATGTTTCACTTTTAAAAAGTGTTATTAAAGGACTGGTCTCACATTTTGGGAGTTGGTTTAGAAGGTTGATGCCTCATGTCTGTGTTTTAATTACTGAGCTAGCTTAGCTTAGCTTAGCAGACAAATGTAAACAACTCTGACTCTATCCAAAGTTAAAAAATCTGGCTCCTTAAAAAGCTACTAGTTGTGGTTCTACACGCTGTAACTATTATACAGTACTTCTATTATACTACTCTAAAAGACCCTCACCTGCTCTCCCAAACATGTAGTCATACAGTCCCTTATAAAATGTACAAAACACACTGTAAAATGATGGTGAAACTTCTACATCCCACTATAAAAGGCGTACAAAATTGTGATCCATATTTTGTGCTTTAATGCAAATGATAATTTACAGAAATCCCAATGAAACATGAATTAACAAAATGACTTGTCAGTACCATTTAAATTCATGTGGCTTCTTCGCCCGATGCTCTGAACACACACATGTGCACGCACCTTCACAAGCTGCTTAACAACATTTAAGATTATGGGGGGGGCTTATGCAAATTAGTTCAGAAAAGCTTCAATCACAGAAAAAACTTTTCATGAAAATCATGTTTTTTTGGATCTTCAGCTGCAGCCTAAGCTGCTTGGGCTGTCTCTCCCTCTGCCTGTCTCTCCCTCTGTCTGTCTCCCCCTCTGTCTCCCTGCCTGTCTCTCCCTCTGCCTGTCTCCCTGCCTGTCTCTCCCTCTGTCTGTCTCCCTGCCTGTCTCTCCCTCTGTCTGTCTCCCTGCCTGTCTCCCTGTCAGTCCAGCTGTCAGTCAGACCGGCTCTTGTACCTCTGGATGAGAATGTGCGCAATGTTAAATATCTGGCAATATCCTGAAGATGCAGGTATTCAAAACAGTGTCTGCAGACTGTTTCATAGTTCAATATCAGGCTGCAATCCAAACAATCCTGTTTACCCATTTAATACACTACAGCTGTAGCGTTCAGTATTACATTCTGCATGTCCAGCAGCATTACATGTCTCCAAACAACTGTCCAGCATACAATAAGATTGCACCCTCTCTATTTCAGACACACAGGTCTCTCAGCAGTTATTTCCATGAGGAGTTTGTTTTTAACAGCCATATTACTTCGGCGCACGCTGTCTGTTTAGACTGGCAGTCGCTGAGCACCAGCAGCAGCGCCGAGTCGTAGCGCTGGATCAGTTGTTGGTTTCTTGGGAAAACACTCGGTCACACTGGCTGTTACAAGAGGCTCCGTGGTTATGAATAGAGAGGCCTGTGCTTGACGGTACAGGCTGCGGTGGGACGAGGTCGCACTGCTTATTTCAGTCACCTGGATTACGGAGCGCCTGACTTTAGGTTGTTTGTTCAGTTAGGTTGCACACGTGTACACACAGACTACGCGTAAGTGCTTTTGAGCTGACCTGGTGGGGGGGACAGGAAAGGGAAGGGGAGGTCTGCTGGTCTGACCGGCCTGAAATGGGATTAGAAAGGCCAGCAGAAGGTCAAGCTCTGTGCGCTGTAGGTGTTGATGGCTGGTAAAAAAAAACACATTATGCAACGTGTGCACTTAAAAGGTAGTTCTACATGTACAGACTTTTAGGAGTGTGTTTCAGAGGGGTTGGACAGAAACTTCTATTCTCTCAAGATACACTTCATAGGATCCCATTTAGACGAGATCTCAGCTGGTGTCCACAATACTGCTTCAGTTGACATCACATGATAACTGTTGAGTGTTGAAGCATGATAGATTTACTGTGGGTTCATTGTCAGTTTGTTGAATTAAAAAACGTCTGCAGTCATTATGATCCACAAAGAAGCACAACATGGACACACAAAGTCAGCCCTTTTAATTGTTAGTTTGATGTTTTTGGAAAATAAGTGGTAGAGTGAAATGTAATCCTTACATCGCTCTTATGTTTCTACAGAGTTCCCATCTGGCGCTCATTGACACCCTGATGATGGCGTATACTGTGGAGATGGTGAGCGTGGAGAGAGTGATGACCTGCATCAACAGGTGCTCCTCCGCTGAACCCTCACATGGTGACGGACACATCCAGGAGCTGCCTTATGACACCGAGGATGCAATTGCCACTTGGATCAACAAGGTACGCACACAAAACCACAAAAACTTCTCATTTCGGAGGATACCAACTGTACACATCTTCGTTTCACTCCGGATATAGCAGACACAAGAGGTGCTGGAAAGTGTGTCAGCCCTCAATCCCTCCATCACTGGTTCAAAATCTCACTGCAAGAGAGCCTGATGAAGAACTGGCACCAATCACATATAATTATGCCAGAGAAACTATCAAGAGATAACTGACTCAGTCTGACCTCCTCTGGTCTGCTCGAGCAGGATTGGGAGAGTAAAGCTTTCAGAGGGCAGTAGTTAAGTCTCTGATTTAATCTTCTTCATCCTACGGTCACTTCAAGTTGCTTTCTCTGATCTTGCAGGAGACTTTAAGGGAATTTTGACACAGTTGTCTTGAAATATGATGTTGACCTATTTCTATTTGGTTTAAAATAATGAAACAAGCCCCAGCAATGCATGATTTAGTCAATTAAATGTACAATGGTCGCTGACATTCTTGCTGAAGAAGCTCATGTGCTTGATTCTCCCTTTTGCAGTCCAGCGACGGGAAGGTACACATGCAGGATTCATTTGCAGACACGCACATTAAAAACCACATGGTTGTGATTGGCTGATGCGACCCGGTGCATCCTCAAGCCACAATGTTACATCACTGTTTGTAGAGAACCTTTGAAGAAGGAAAAGCAGTAATCATTATTTCTGACTCTTTTAAGAAAAAAAAACTATTATTAGAGTCATCTTTAAAGTTCTCTCTCAGTGTGTTTGAGTTGGGAGTCAGCTGTGTGCTGTATATCAGGTTACAGTGATATTTAGCATCAGGGGCTAATGGGCTGAGGTGGTGGTGAAACATGTTTCTTTGATGTGTGAATCCTCTTGTGCTCATGTTCAAGTTCATCCTCTTCCCATCACAGACTCACCATTCAGTCTCAGCAAAATACTTGTCTGATATTTGTCCTCTACCTGTCTGTCTGTCTGTCTGTCTGTCTGCCTGCCTCTCTCTCCAGGTGAATGAACACCTGAGGGACATCCTTGTTGAAGAGCAAAAGCTGAGAGAGGACTCCCTCCAGGAGTCAAACTCAACAACACACAAAGTAAGAACAAACACTAAAGCCGGACGAGCAGTGTCCCCCTATTTCCAGTCTTTGGGCTAAACTAAACTAATCCGGTGGCTCCAGCTTTGCACTTCACGCTCAGAGAAGATCAATATTCCCATTTAACTCTTCACGAATATTTCCTAAAATATTCCTTTTAAGAACAGCAAGAAAAGCAGAAACAGGACTTTTTTGATTAGCTTTTGTTTTGAGATGCATTTTCTGCTTCTCAAACGTTTGTTTTGTCTCCTATCTGTTGATAGGCTATTTTAAATGTGTTCTTTTACTCAAAGGTTATTATGTCTGTGTCCACATAAGGCCCACGCAGACACACATGATATGTACGCACACATACAGCACAGAGCTCTGTACATCAGAGGAACAGATGAGCTCAGTCTCCGACCAGCTGCAGAGAAATGTTGGCAAGAGTCGCAAAACACTGCTGTTAGAGAGAAAGAAATGTGAAACACAGAGAGAGAGAGAGAGAGAGAGAGAGAGAGAGAGACGTGAGGAGGAAAAATCAGAGAGAGGGGAAGGGGAGGGAGAAATGACACCAGGGTGGGAGACATGGAGAGAGACATTCTGGGACGTTGTCAGCTGTAGCTTAAGAGTCAGCGACAGACAGAGACAGTGTTGTCATCCTGCAGGACTCGTAGTTATGTAAGGTCCATGTGACACAACGAGTCGGTCTGCTGGGACAAACACACTGCCGTCAGCTCCCGTCCTCTTCCACTCACTTAACCATGAAGCTACAGCACAGGGCCTTATCAGGTCATGACCCTCGCCTCGGGTCGGTACTTTAAATCAGAGACAAGAGGGTGAACGACGGTTCAAAAATGGAAAAATAAGTATTATGTGTACATGCACACAGGCAAAAAATAGAACTAGAGCAAATAGGAAACGAGAAAGTAAACTTCCTGCAATTCAGTACCAAATCAAAGAGGTAAACACTGATTGAAACTCTGATTCGGCTGAATGTGTCGACCTGGGTGGTTTCAGAGATAGCTTCAGCTAACTGGCGTGCTAACCGTCCACAGCCATGCTAGCTGCTCTGTGACGCAGGGGTGCTTTGAGCTAAATGCTAATGCTAGCACGGCCACATGTTCACAGTGACATGCTGATGTTATATGTTAGTATGCTAACATTTTCTAAATGAGCACTAAACACAAAGTATAGCTGAGGCTGAATGTCATCTATTTGGTCCTAAACTACAGTTGACCTGATGATGGTCAGGCAAAAAGATTTACATAAACATCTGTACCTCATGGCAGGCCCTCAACTGGTTATCGAGACATTTCCCTCAAAACCATAAACGTTAAGTCAATCACCAAAGTCAGTAGTATTCATCCTCTGGGTACCATGAATGTCGGTACAAAATGTCATGGCAATCCATCCGATAGTTGAAAATATAGTTGTAGTAGTAGATATTATAGTCTGGACTGACCGACATTACCGTCCATAAAGCCACACTACAAGCATGGCTGACATACACACCCGTTACCATAGATTGAACTGTTTGTATACAACAAGTTGTAAAATGGTCACATGGTGAGTGTGTCTCTGTTCCGTCAAATGGAGAAAAATGATTTTCTTATCAAAGAGCTGCAGGATGTCACGAGCAGCTAAATCATCTCTTATCTGCTGTGGAACTTTCTTGGCACATCCCTCCCCCACCGTCTTGTTTTGTTGCCGTATTGTGAGAGTGATCACTGCCTTAGTGCGATTGCTCTGTAAGCTGATAATACACATGGTCTATGTGACCCATCCCACGCCGACTCACATAGACACACTCGGGCAACAAGGAACAAAGGAAAGGAAAGAAGGAGGTCTCTCTAAGAGTGCGAGGACTACGCTGTACACTCGGTGACAGTCAGCTGCTTTCCTACTGCTCGCTCCATCACACAGCTCCCTCTCTGCATTATCAGCTTCAACAGAAGAAGACTATTCACTGAGTGGGACGTACTCAGAGGAGATCATATATGCCTTTACAAACACACACACACTAATGGATGAGCACAAGACACTTCTCAGTCTGGTCTGGTCTATTCTGGGACAGTGTGAAGAATCTTTAACTGTGGTCTTATGACTAAGTGCTCAGCGCGTGTGTGTGTGTGTGTGTGTGTGTGTGTGTGTGTGTGTGTGGATACAGTGTGAATGTAAGCTTGTAGCTTTGACAACTTCCTTCAAGGAGGTTTATGTTGTAAGGTTTAGGGTCTCCTCATTAGTTCACAACATATCTCAAAACACATTTCCATTAAATTTGGTGGAATGTTTTGCACAGAGGCCAATATGTTTTTAAAGGGTTTCCCTACAGCACATGACGAAACGCCTCCATAACTTTGGGATGGGTTGCTATGGAGTATTGTACATATATTTCTGTTCCCCAGAGGATCAACCTGACATTTTTCTCTAATGCCAACATCAGGTCAAACTTTTTTTTATCCAATACTTCCTACAAAACTGCCATGCCGTTAGCCCCAGCAGCAAATTAGCATGCTAACAAGCTAAATCAAGATTATATCATATCTTGTTAAAATACTTTGTCGTCAATATTACCTAGTCATATGTATATTAATGTTGTGGTCTCTATAATATTATATAGGTGGAGACTTTAAATAGGCCCAGTGGGTTTTCTGACTCTTCCAGGAACGTCATATTATTATTATTTATCTCTGCTGTGTTTGTATATTTTTTTTAATTGTGCAAACTAAACTAAACTAAACTAAACTGAACATTATACCTGCTTAACATCAGAATCTTAGCTTCGTATTAACCTGTTAGCTTTTAGCTCAAAGCTCAGCTGGGCCTCTCTTATGATGGAGTATTTGAGACCCTCGGGGAAAATTGTCCTATTTTATAATTAGATATGGTCCATTAAGTGTCTGTCTCTTCACAAAATAACGAGTATTATCAGGAGAACAATTTAACCAAAAGTCAAATATTTCCATGTGTGTATAATACCATTAGCCTTAGAAATAGTTCAGCTAATGGACTCCCTGAAGACAAAAAGGCTGTTTGTTAGGTGAGACTGAATTCCAGTGAGCACCTTTTTATGGCAGATTGTAGAGGTTGGGAGGGGAGAAGAAATGTTATATGTAAGATATTATTGACAAGATGATTACATTTAGAGGACTGTGCAGAGGTGTAGCATGCACTATCGGAGTTCATACTCCCATGCAGTCTCAGCTGTAAGTAGCCAAACGTGTTATGCTGTCGGCCTAACGCCTCTCCCACTCTCTTCTGTTGTTGTCCAATCATCTTCCACCATCAAGTCTCCTAGCAAATGGTACTGGAGATTAGTACCTGTAAGTCCATCCGTTCTGAAGAATTCCTGTTCATCAACCGCCACCATCTACCTCCTCTCTGTCTAACCCAAAACCAGGACACACCCCTTCCTTCACATTGTAATTGCATGTGGCCCTGAGCCCCATCATGCATTTGTCACATACCTCCCACCTCAACCCTCGTCTCCACATTCATAGGAATCTCATCGAATGATATAGTAACTATTTTAAACTTGCATCACCCAGGTCAGAAACTATATTTAGCATGAACACCAGGAATAAGACAATGTATCTTTTGTATACAAACTAATGCTGATGCCCCGGTATTGTTAGCTACACATTTTCTTGTTTCTGATCTGGCATGTCTGTTGCCGGTATTGTGCATTGAAAACAGTGTTATTTTCTTCGGTTGTATGTCTTTAAATCAGCTTAAATCAGTTTTTACAAACCAAATGTAAAGACGGACAACATTTAGTTCCTCTGAGCTCAATGCACAAACGGGGAGGCTGTCAGACTGTGAGAGCTGCTGGGATTAAAACTTCCATCGTATCTCTTGTAAAATGCCACTGTTGTGTGTTTATGGGCAAACTGGGAGTACCGATGCCCTGTAGACACATGCAGTGGTATCGTCTCTGTGGTTTCTACAGGCCTAGAGAGACAGAAACAGAAAAGGATGGATGCGCTACTAACACAAATTATTATTAACCTTTAAATCACACGCCCCCGTGAGACGTGTCGTGCTGAAAGCAATTCATCTATTACATGCATTCTGCTCCTTTTCTCCTTCTAGATAACTAACTGCTCCTCACAAGCAATCACAGGGAGCACATTAGTGCTGACGTGTTTTACATTTAAGACAATGTAATTCTATTGTATCTGCATGAGGAATTTAATATGCATTATTTGAGCCTGAAGCCCACCCTATGCTTTAACTTAAAACCTACGTTATTGAGTTGTGTGTGTGTGCACTGGTGCATGCAGTTAAAAGTGTTCATGCAGATATTGCACCAACAATAAGAAAGCCAACTGTTCATATCCACCCCACACCCCCGATGACACGTATGTGGTGTCTTTGTGCTGTTGCCATGGTTTCAGGCTCGCTACAGGAGGGACCCTGTCCAGCAGAGGAGCGCTCCGTCGCTCCCCCTGGTGGAGAACTTGCTGAAGGACAACACGGACGGCTGCGCTCTGACCACCCTGCTGCATTTTTACTGCCCACAGGCCGTCAGACTGGAAGGTGGGACCAACCCCTCGATCTGTAACCGCACCCACTTGATCTCACCAGCCACACCCTCTCTTACTGTGATTATACTAAAAGACTGAAGTCAGCTCACTTATACATTAGAAATAGCATTGAATGAGCTGACCACAATGACTCGACAGCACAAAGGAGGCTTTTCTCTGCTCTCGTTGCTCTAACTACAGACAAACATTTGAATAAAGGGCTTCAAACAAAGAGCATAATTATTATCAACTTGCCCTTATTTTGTGAGGGCTTTTTGCCTTTTGAATAAATAAGAAAGGAAGTCAGTTCAATAAAAACAAAATAATAGCGTAGTAGCCTTTTACAGGAAATGTTTTCAGTGGGCTAAACTAATCTTTATCTCGAAGAACAACATAATCAAGAGATTAAGGACCCTGTTTGGACTTTCTGTGGTCACATTTAATGATATAAATGCAGGATATTGTTCAGGATGTTGACCCTAGAAAGACACTGTGAGGCAGAGAGGTTTCAGGACAGACATGGAGAACAAAGACGTGTTTCCTCTCAACTTCGCTGCGCCCTCATTTCTAAAAATGCCCCGAGTTGGGCTGTGATTGGTCACGAGGGTTATGTGACGGGGATCCGTTAGAGGAGTAGCTGGCTGCTATTTCAAAGATAAACAACTCTCGTGTCGGTGCTCTGAGACTCTCGGGATTGAATATAGCTCACGGGGCGCTCGTACACATGTGGACCAGATGTTGAAGCCAGGGTAATTTAGGTCTTTTTGCTGGCAGATTGATTTACTGTAATAATAATAAAGAAGTACAGTAAAGTGCAGAATGACATAATTCCAGAGAAACCAGCTGCTGTAATGTTTGGTTGTCCTTCCCGGGTCTTATACACATGCATGGGCCATCCTTACAGTAACGTCAGGGGATCAACATCCTGATGATTCATCCAGTACGAGTTTGAAGAAGTGTGTCACGAACTGTTTCAAGGAGTTTGAGTTATTCAAATCAGATTCTGCATATGGTGCAAATACTAGTGGGAAAAGTAGGATCATTCTGTCCTCATCCAAAAAAGAAACTATGCCTTATCTTTTGCTTGTCTTCCTGCCTGGCTATCACCCCTCCCTTGTGTGTCTGACCCCTCCCCTGGCGGAGCAGATATTTGCCTCAAGGAGACCATGTCTTTGGCCGACAGTCTGTACAACCTTCAGCTGGTGCAGGAGTTCTGCAGGAACAACCTCAACCACTGCTGCCACTTCAGCCTGGAGGACATGCTCTATGCACACGCATCTATAAAGGTAAGGAGTATATTCAAATATTGAAAAACAAAGAAATGTATGTGGATGCTGTGGAAAGTGTTATTTTTACCCTGTGGATTCAGTTAAAGAAAGAAAAGTGTTTCGGGGAATAGGGAGATTTAGGGCGGCATTAAAATAGGCAAAAATGAGTCAGGCAAGGAAAAGTTGAATAATGAATGTGTGTGAGCAGGCTTGGTTCTCTAAGGGGCTGTCAGTGTGTGTGTGTGTGTGTGTGTGTGTGTGTGTGTGTGTGTGTGTGTGCGCGCGCGCGTGTGTTAGCAGGGACATAAAGATCATTTTGCAACAGTGAGTATTGCTTTGCTGCCATATTAAATGAATATGACAGCCTGTGTGCTCCAGAGTGTCGTTGCTTTTCTAGTACAAGCGCTGGAAGCCAAATACACCCCCGCCCCCTCCTCTGACAGAGGACAGATTCTGCTCAGAGGAGATTCACAGTCCTGACCCGTCTCTGCCTACCTCCCTTGTCTCTCCCCCACGTCCACATCCTCTGTTTCTATCTTTCAGTAAAATCGGTGAACTTCAAAGATAACAACAACAACAGCTGATTCACTCTGTCCTCAGGCTACAATCTCCCCATTTTACACACATTTGTTTCTAAATAATAAAATACTTACTGTACAACTTTAAAAGCCTCTCTTAGAAGCCGTGTGGGTAAATAGTATGCAGGGAGCGTGGGGTGGAAACATTCAGATTCAAGTCACGGTCCAAGCTGACTGGGACTTTCCATTCTTCAAAACAACACAGCAGACGGTTTTTACACTTGTGCACTTTTTGCTCTCTAATTCTCCCTTCCTTTCTCAGTCACTACATTGTTTATGGTGACTGTGCATTGAGTGTATTGTGCTAGAATTGTACAAGTAGGCAAAGGAGGGGAGGAGAGGGAGAGAATGGTCATGAAGACCAGTCAAAGAGACGGGCACGCTGCCCATTCCCCATAGCCTGCCCACTAAATCCTGTGTGTGTGTGTGTGTGTGTGTGTGTGTGCATGTCCATTAATTTCATATATTATACAAACAGACATGTTGCGTTTGCCATTAAGCAGTATTATCTGGCGTATCTAAAATGGAAATCAAGTTTTTAGGAATTTACATCTTTTTACGTCTATTCTTGCTAGAAAGTAAATGAACTGATCTGTGCGCGTTAACTAAGAGGTTTCCTACAGATGAAATCATCCATATAAGCCCCCAGAGCCTCTCTCTTTATAACATGAATGCATTCATCATTGATTTAAGTTACTCACTCGCTGCTTTGTGCATACGTCGGTGCACATGTGACATATTTAAACTGAACTCCAGATGGTGTTTTTGGCAGTTTTCAAGAGGCGTAGGGCTTTGACAATAAAGCACCCAGACGATGAAACATGTAATAATATTCAACCACACACACCTGAGCCCATCACTTAGCAACAGTTTGCAGGCTGTGACCTCACTGATCTGTCAAAATGCTGTACGATATTGCGATTGTAGCTCAACCAACATCTTTACAGAGACACAGGGAGAAGAAGCTGTGACTGCAAAGAGACACATGTCATGTTAATGATATAAATAAATTACTTCATATGTGGCTGCAATATTTACCACAAAGGTGTGTGTGTGTGTGTGTGTGTGTGTGTGGTTTTGCAGAGTAACTACCTGGTGTTTATGGCTGAGCTTTTCTGGTGGTTTGAAGTGGTTAAACCCTCATTTGTACAGCCCAGAGTCTTTGATCCAAACGGTACAGTACAAGTTCACATATATATAAATAACATCCGCATGCTATTGCTAACTGCGATGATGATGATGATGATGATATGCATGCTGAAGGATTACATTATTAATTAACCTGAGGTTGCAGTTGAATGTTGAGTATCTGTCATATGTTTCCCTCTGCAGCCTGTGAGCCTGTATCGTCCTGTAGAAATATGGCTCCTGTTTCCAGTCCAATCACACAGAGCTATGCAGACACACCTGACAGCCCTGAGAATGCCCCGTCACAAGGTAAACTATTTGTTATCAGCTGGGGATGTGAATAAATCTCTCTTTAGTGATCATGCGTCCAGATTTGTCACAATGCGAGTGAGTATTGTTTCATGTTTCACGTTTGTAAATACAACAGGAGCATCGGTATTCTTATTAACAAAGCTTTAACAGTATTTCCTCTACTTTCTTGAATTTGCCCATACATAGTTATGTGGTGCTTTTAAAAAATACGACATAATCAGTACTATTAGCAGTTACCTGGGCCATGAATACAGAACAGTGGAAGAATGTGAGGATGTGAAACCAGAGGCCCTCTAGTGGCTGATTTACATACATGCAGTCAGTCGCTCCAGTATCACGTATGCTATATTTGAGCCCTGTACAAATTTGAAACTAAAGCAGATCACCGCAGCATGTGTCGTTAACTGTTGAAATAAGTGATTTAATACATGCAGTAAGAAGCTACTCTGTGTCTGTGACAGGTATAATGAAGAGGTCTATCTCCATGTCCTACGTGGAGGGCTGTGTTGGGACATGGCCCAAAGAAAAACGGTCGGTACCTGAACTCCACAGTGGCCCTGCTAGAGCAGACGTGAAGTGGTCTGATGTTTCCTTATTGAACTAACACTACATGTCCTCCCTCAGCTCCTCCTGTCGGGGCATCTCCTTTGAGATTCCTCTGGACGGAGACCCGACAGTGCCGCCCTGTGAAGCTCCCTCCCTCGGTGGTATGACCCGCTCTGTCAGCAGTGACGGTCTTGGATTCAAAGTTCACTATGCGTCTCGAGGGGTCATGAAGCGCCACCTCTCCCTCATGCCCGTCAGTGTAAACGGCCAGAGCAGACACATACCTGAGGAGGACGATGAGTTCACCTCCCACAAACCCCTCGGGAGGACCAACACCTTCTCAGTCAAGAACCAAAGCAGGTACAGCAGAGGGGTGGTTTTTAAATACTAAACCTCTATCCTCTACATCGCCACATTGTCATTTAAAGAGACAGTTTTGTTGTTTTTTGGGTGGACATTCCGCAATTTTTCATACACGAGATAAATGAATGGATGGATTTTATGACACTGTTTCAGAGAGTAATAGTAGTCTAAGAAAATGTATGTGATGTGCCCAGTGGGAAAATAAAGACTTTTAATTTGCATATGTGGGTGGAGGTTTAGTGTATTATTTAGCCTTTACTTATAGTTATAGCCACGTTAGTGCCTGCAGCAGCAAGTGCAGTGCCTGTTTACAGTCATTTGCTTTTTCAACGGTTCAACGTGCATGTAATCTTTATAGATAAACACAAGATTATTCGCTTTGAGACCCCACAAATGATCTAAGTTGTTCTTAAATCCATGTGTTACCTCAGGGCTCTGCTACTAACGTTAGAGGTAAAAATATGTTCAAACTACAAAGAGATGTAAAGATGAGAAGGACATCCAGCAGATGAGATCGTAAATATCCCCTAAAGCTAACCCTTACTTTAAACAATCATCGGTTAATTTACCCAAATCTGTCTCTAGGTACTCCAATGGGCTCCCAGAGAGCCACCACAGCCCCAACAATCACCATGGCAACCGCAGTAGCCAAATCAGCCCATCAAGTCCTCCGAGCATCGAGGAGGCCCTGAAGATTATCCACGACACTGAACAGCCCCACGCTAGCCTGGGCGTGGGGGACGGAGACAATGGCTTCTTTCTCCACGGTGCGGACCCTTCAGACCCTTCAGGGGCCCACGGTCTAGGAGACAACCTGGGTTCAGCTAAGGCTCAGCTGAACGACCACGACCCCAACTCTGTGTCCACAGATGAAGTTGACACAGGCATCCATGTGGGGACAGAGGACATCCAGAGCTTGGATGAGGACTCCTCCTCCCTGAAAGACTATTCAGACATAGACCCAGACTGTGAGGCCATGACCCGGTCGTGTCCTCTGCCTGACCAGCCGGAGGAGAAGAGCAGAGAAGGAGGACGGAAAGGAGTCAGTGATGCTAACCACGAGGGTGAGAGGGGAGACGGGGGCGACAGGGGCAGCCCCTGTCCCAGTTCAGCGCCCACAATCCCCAGATCCCACACAGTCAGCCCCGCCTCGTCCTCTGGAGGAGGCATGGTCCGGATGACGAGCTTTGCAGAGCAGAAGTTCAGGAAGCTGGAGGGAAGGAGTAGTGGAGGAACCACACCGGAGAGTTCAGATCTCAATGTGCCATATACACACCTGCCAAAAAGCATTTCTTCTCAGGTTTGTGTCCTATTGTGTGTCACTCATTCCCTCTCTCGCAGAGGCAGAAATACAGTTTGGAGTGAAGTTAGTCGGTATAGAATTATTGTCAATGATCTTTGCATTTTTTTTCTAGATGTCTACACCTCCTTTGCCAATCACATCTCCCTCTCCAGTAACGCCCTCCCCCAGAGACCCCTCCCACCTGATAGCCACAGAGATGATTCAGCTGAGGATGAAGCTGGAGGAGAAACGGAGAGCCATTGAAGCCCAAAAGAAGAAGGTAAAAAGATCAGGACAAAGACAGACAGCCAAGTAGTATAGCTAGAAATGTTCACACTGTGTCGCTCTCGTCACAGGTGGAAGCAGCTTTCACACGCCATCGTCAGAGGATGGGCAGAACAGCCTTTCTAAATGTGGTGAGAAGAAAAGGAATCACTGCCCCCCTCAGCCCCAGCTCGGGCGCAGCAGAAGCACTTTCTCCAGAGTCCCTCACGGCCTCGAAGGAAACCAACCAGGGCAGCATGGAGCGGGCGGAGAGATGCAAGCCAGACGGAGCAGCTCCTAAATCCCCCTGTGAGGATGCTGGAGGTGAGTGTTGCTTACAGATTGTTTATAAGAACTCGATAGTTCACGTCCAGAAGAAGTAGAAATGTATGCTAAAAATCACATTTCGTATCATAAAGTCCTGTGGTGGGTCAGTTTGCTTTCAGACCACAAACGAACTGCAACAGAGTCAGCTTGGGAGAACTTCCTTATCAGGCAGTCTCGATCTGGTTGTTCAGTCAAATTGGTAAATGACTGACCTGTGCGTGCAATGTGGTGGGTGATACAGGCGCGTCTCCGGGAGAAATCGACCTCACAGAATACACTCGCTCCATTGAGAGGCTGAACACGTCGTTGGGCTTCCTGCAGACAGAGATGCAGCGTTTGGCCCAGCAGCAGGAGACGATCATGTCCATGAGAGAGCAACAGCAACAATCCTGGGTCATTCCTCCTCCTGCTCCATCTCCGCACAGGTATCACTTAATGACAAAGAAAAAGATAGAAAAAGATATTTTGTTTGTGAACACATACAGGACCGTGTGCATTCTCTTCCACACAGGCAGCTCCGTGAGTTGCGTAGCAGCAGTGTAACGGGCCGGGGATCAGGACGAGGCTCGGTTGGGTCTTTGTCTCCCATCCTTTCTTCTTCCGGCTCTCCCCGCACTCCCAACCGTTCCCCTGCTGGCATCAAGCGCCGTCCGGCCTCCTTCCATGCCAGGACACCCAGGACTCCACGACCAAATGATCTGAAGGTCACACCTTTCAGTCGAATGCTCAACACCCAGACCTCAGTGGACAGCATACCCAGACTCAGACGTTTCACCCCCAGCCAAAACCAGGATAGCCCGTTTGCGTACCTGGGCCACGACGAGGGGCCTCTGGAAAGCAGGAACGAAGAGACCAAGGACAACAAAGAAAACACTAAGGACAAAGAAGACGTAGTGGTAAAGAAGAGTGCTGGCACTCCTCAGCTGTCTACTGAAGAAGCAGCCAAAGAGAAGGAAGACGAGCGACAGGAGGAAAGAAAGGGCGAAGTCAAGCAAACACAGTCGTCAGAGGTGTTGTGTCAACCGGTGTCTGAGATCCAAGGGCCCACAGGCAGCCGGGTCAAGGGAGACCCCCAGGACAGAAGACACCTGGTGGAGGTGACTCTGTCTGGGCTGAAACCTCCAGAAGGACGACCCCACAGCAAGGAGACGACGGGAGACGGTGAAGGAGATGGAGAGGCAGGAGGAGACACGTATGGAAAAGACCAAAAGATGTGCTGTGGATTCTTCTTCAAGGTGAGCTGGAGCTACAGAATTGTTTTTATCTTAGTAATGTCTTAAGAAAATCCATGAAATAGCTTTTGTGTGAAATAGAGTAAACATGTTTAAAGGCTTTGAACACAAGACTCCATTGCAACTCAAGACCAAGACAGGCTTTTCAATATTTTAGACTGATGTTCCCATGATGATCACCAGTTTATCTTTTCTTCCAGTCAAAGGTCTGTCCATCTTAGCTTACTTGCTAGCATAAATCTTGCTAGCCATGCGACAATCACATTTATAACAAACTTTTTCACAGCAGACATTTTGACTCGTCATATATTAAAGGAACAGGTGGCACTGGTAACATTAGTGATGGCTCCGTACCCCTTCGCTCAGTCCCGGGCCTCGAACGCAGACTGGCTATTCATAAAAACATGGTAAAAACCTGCAGATCTACGTACGTTATGTCAGCACGTCTTTTAGCACGTCTTTTGCTAACGTTAGCACGTCTTTTGGCACGCCTTTTGCTAACGTTAGCACGTATTTTGCTAACGTTGGCACGTCTTTTAGCACGTCTTTTGCTAACGTTAGCACGTCTTTTAGCAAGTCATTAGCTAACGTTAGCACGTATTTTGCTAATGTTAGCACGTCTTTTAGCACGTCATTAGCTAACGTTAGTACGTCTTTTGATAACGTTAGCACGTCTTTTAGCAAGTTATTAGCTAACGTTAGCGCGTCTTTTAGCACGTCATTAGCCGTTAGCACGTCTTTTGGCACGTCTTTTGCTGACGTTAGCAGGTCTTTTGCTAACGTTAGCACGTCTGTTATTTTATGATGGATCAGAACCCAGAGGAATTTTGGCTAAAAAACTTTACATTTTATCATCACAAATTTTTTATTCAATTAATCTGCTGAGTTAACAGGACTGCCAGCTTTTCATGAAGGTATTAAAGATGCAGTGGAAATATCTCTACGTACAATCTATTTTGTGTGTTCCCCACCCGTTTAAACACCAGGATGATGTGAAAGGGGAGGAGGACATGGCAGCAAAGAAAGCAGCTCTGCTGGAGAAGAGGCTTCGGAGGGAGAAGGAGACTCAGGTGAAGAGGCAACAGCAGGAGCTGGATCAGGAGCAGAAGAAGGAGTCTGCACGGTCTGTTTTACTTTGACTCTTTTTGCCAACGCTAACACTGTCCCCGTGTCTGTAGCATCAACACATACAGTGTGTCTTTTGAACTTGAGTGTGCAGTAACACAATAAATCTGTACCTCTGTCTCCTGCTCCAGGTTGAAAGCCGAGGAGGAGCTGCAGAAGAAGGATAATGAGAAGGCGAGGAGGGAATACATCAAGCACGAGTTTTTGAGGAGGAACCAGCTCAAGCTGGAGGACAACATGGACGAGGTCATCAAGCCCCGATCTGGAAGCCTGAAGAAGAAGCCGCGGCCCAAGTCCATCCACAGGGACGTCATGGAGTCGCCTACGCCCCCTGTGAGAGCCACAGGTGAGCAAGATACAAACCGTATGCACAAACACACACTTCTGGCTGCATTACTGAGCCGTGCTTGAGCGTTCCTTGTGTTGCAGGGGTGCGTCCTCGAGGATTCTCAGTGTCGAGTGTTTCTTTGGCGTCTCTCAATCTGGCTGACCACGACAGAGACCACCCAAATAACAGGAAGAACAACAGGTAAGAACCCACTCTGTGCCTGTAGCGTGGATTTTAGACTCTCTTACCTTGCTCTTGATTTACAAAACACAGATGTAAGAAGCACAAATACTCTGTCTGCACCATGCATTTGTCAATAAAACCCAAAGAACTACGCCTCTGTTTTAGGGGGAAACATAATATAAAGAAATGTTACAATTGTAACGTAATAATTTACTAACAACCAAGATGACACAGTTGAAGCTGTCCGGCCATTTTCATCAATCTTGTCTTTAAGCTCCTTTCAACAGTATTTTATTGTATAGTAGAAGAAGAAGTATCACAGTATCACACGAGTCATGTATGTTTAGAATATCTGTTTAACTACAACAAGTAGTTCAGAATTACTTATTTTATTTTTACCTTTTGTAATATTGCAGTCGGTTTGTGCAGTTCACCGTCCCTCAGTTTATTACCACCACAATTAAAACTTCACGACCCCATATTTCATTTGTGACACCCAGATATCATATACTCTGCCGTGGCTTTAATGTCACGGGGTGTTTTGTGATGTTTAAGTTATCTTTTCTTAATTGTTAAGTCTTGACTTTTATGAGGCTTACACTCTTGATTCTCTTGTATCCCTCTCTCATTTCTCCCTCTATTTTGCATGCGTCCCTCAGAGGCAATAAACTAGCCCATATCCCGTTCTTTCTAAGCTCTCCCAAAGAAAGAAAGGGAAGGTTAGTAATGCTCCGAAAAAAGTGATTCAACAGACAAAGTGTACCGGATGTGGCTCCATGTAGAATTAGCTCCATGTGACTCAAGCCTGCTTTTCATCGGACCTTCTTTCAACGCAGACTCGCATAAAAAGTAGACGAATGTGTCAACAGTGAAATCATTTGACAAATTACATTACTGCCGTTTTTTTTGCTTCTGCATCGACGTACATATGGGACCTGTGTGGCTGAGATGTTTTCGCCTCGGTTCTCCTGCTCTCTATCCTCTTCCGCTTTTTCGCAGTATTGTTCTCCGTCTGCTGTTTGCTCTCTTCTCTTCTGTTGGCTGCTCTGCCTTTCACTGCTGTGTTTGCTGTTTCCTCCACAAGTACCTGAGCTCATGCCTCACAGAAACCATAAAGACAGCACTGAGGCTTTGCTTTGCTTGGCTGAACAGGCCTCTCTGTGTCTCGCTGCGCAGCTGGGTCGGTTCAGTGTGATGTAATGCAAGACAACAGGCAGGGTTTGAGAATTGTGTCACAACGTCTGACCTTGTTTTACCACATCTCTCTTTGTGTGTGTGTGTGTGTGTGTGTGTGTGTGTGTGTGTGTGTGTGTGT